TGGGCTGTGTCTGGGTTCCCCAGACTCAAGCCACAGCTCATCCTGTTGTAACGGTCCCATGTGGATGTGGCCTTAGACGCTCCTGCAGAGCGATTGCGTGTTAATGGTATTTCTCCAGCCCCTCCTGCTCCTGGGAACCATTCCCTCTGGCAGCGGTGCCGTGTCTGCAGCCGCCGTCGGAACTGCTGTGTGGGAAGGCAGAACGCTTTTATTGGGGTTTAGGTGGCTACAATGAGAGGGTGAGTCCCTGTTGCAAACAGATCCACATCTGTCTTGTCTATAGATTCTGCATCACCTGGACTCACCCAGAGCAGTTTGGATCTTCATCGAGGCCACACCTCGAGTATTGTGTCCAGTTTTGGGCACCTCAATCCAAGAGAGATCTCAAGGTGCTGGAGCGAGCGCAGAGGAGGGCAACGAAACTAGTGAAGGGCCTGGAAGACAAATCATATGAAGAGCAGCTGAAGGAGCTGGGGCTGTTTAGTATGAGGAAGAGGAGGCTGAGGGGAGACCTCATCACTCTCTACAACTACGTGAAAGGACACTGTAGAGAGGTTGGTGCTGGTCTCTTCTCACAGGGAATTAGTGACAGAACGAGAGGGAACGGCTTCAAGCTCCAACAGGGGAGGTTTAGATTGAACATTAGGAAGGAATTTTTCACCCAAAGAGTGGTCGGGCATTGGAACAGGCTGCCCAGGGAGGGGGGGGAGGCACCATGCCTGGCTGGGTTTAAGGGCCGTTTAGATGCAGTGCTGAGGGACATGGTGTAGGGGAGGACTTTGTAGAGTAGGGGCGCCGGATGGACTCGAGGATCCCAACGGTCCCTTCCAACCTAGACAATTCTATGATTCTATGATTCCTTTGTTAACGTGGTATTTTGAGTTTATTTTGGGTCTTGGGCCAAACTTTTTTTTCTTTAAAAGTCCATTATGGAGGCCATAATGCTTGAGTTTATTTTGGGTCTTGGGCCAAACTTGATTTTTTTTTTCTTTAAAAGTCCGTTATGGAGGCCATAACGCCTTCATGTTTTCCATTTAGTTTTGTGTGAGAGTAAACTTATTAACTACTGAAACTGCCTCAAACTTGTCTGCTCTTGTTGTGTGGGAGATGGGTTTCAAAACACAGTCTTGGTACCTCTTGCTTCCCTCGCTGCTTCTCTGAGGCTGGGAGGGAAAAGAATGGGCACAAGCCGTTCGCTGCAGGAGATCTCTTTTTATACTTGTACTTTCTTGATGTAGGGGAACAACAGTAATTGGGCGCTTCAAGTAAGGCTTTTGGTCCTCATCTCACTTGGTAAGAAGACTGGTGCTTTAGCTTGTGGAAGCTCAATGGCACAATCTTGATTTGGGATGAAATTGGGTAATATTAAGCAAAGTCTAGCTATACAACATGAAATACCACACAGACCAGACTTTCCCTTTTCCATAGTCAAGGTGTAACTGACATTTGAGCACGAGGCAAAGACTTTGAAATGTGAAGGGACTGCAGGCACTTGCTGGTGAGATGGTTTCTGGTGTCTCTCTGGCCACAGGCAGTTCTTTGCTGCTCAGCAGCTGGAAGTACTTTGGTTTCAGCTCTTCACGGGCTCTTGTCACCCACTGTTTGCAGGTGTGTGGAATCTGGACGTGCTCTGGACACAAGCTGAACTGGCATATCTTTCTAGACAGGGTGTAAATTAAGCAAAGCCCTGGGGGAGGAGGAAGTGGAACTTGTGGTGGGCAGCAGGGGGTGGCTTTGAGAGGGCACCCATGTGCCATGCAGACTGTGGGATGCTCTCCTGGCTCCTGGGGGGAAGCTGCAGCAGCTCACATCGCCCTTCTTGGTGTCCAGAGAAATGCTTATCATCCTCCACAGATGGAGGAAACCTAGGGGACATTAGAGGCACTTGTCCCACTAGTCTTCTGCAAGATTGATTGCCTTTTCCTAATCCATCTTTTTGATCTCTGCTAACCATCTTGTCTCCAGCTGTAACATCCTCTGCTCTGGATTTATGGACCGCTGCCTGGGGAGAGAGCTGCCACCGCAGGCAGCCGAGCTGTTCTTCCAAACCAGGGCTAGCGGGGCTGACCTCTTCTCTTCTGTGAGTTAAATAGAGCAGTTGCAGATCACAGTTTGGCAAATCAAAATGACTTCTGTTAATCCACGAGAGCAGCCAGTGTTTAGTACTTGGGAGCCAGCGTTCTGTGGTTGGTGTTGGAAGCAGAATGGTATCTAAAGACAATCCTGACAAGGTACATGATTTATTTTCAGTTAGCTTGTTTCAGGTTTTGTTCTCTCTGAATTGTTTGGATTCATCCGGTGTGCAGTGAAAACCTTGTAGCAGGTCTCTTCCTCCTGCTTCGCAAATGCTTGACCACAGCTCGTTTGCATGTTTCTGAAGAGCTGCTTTGGTCACCTGCCCTGTTTTGGGGGGAGGAAGCGTGGTTTGGTGAGTCAAAGACTAAATGGGCTCTGCAGAGGCAAGAACTGCTGTTGCTGTGGGACAGTCCAGTCCTGGGCAGTCAGTGCTGTGCACAAGTGTCCTGTCTGTCACCGGTAGATAAAGGATCTTAAAGTTCTGTGTATGAAGCCGTGAGAGCTGTTGGCTGAAGACGCAAGAGCTGTTGTTTCTTTTTTTCAAGACCACATCCAGATTTTCAAACCATTTGTTCTCCTCTCAGGTTGGGGCTCTTTGCTGCCTTTCCTGGGGAGCGCGGTGGAGACTGGTCAGATCTCACAAGGATCCTGCTCTGCATGTGGGGAAATGAGGTTTAGAAAAAATACAGTGTTCACCTCCAAGCCCCAATTTACGCTGATCCCCAAGGATAACCATAAGAATAAGAACCTAAATATAAAAAGATGTGAATTTGGAAGGGCACTAGGGTGTTGTTCCTCGCTTCAGGCGATGTCGGCTGCCCAATTTAATTGAACATGTTCTTTGTGTTTGAGGAAGAAACATATAATGTTTAAATCTCTTGCTTTAGGTTAGGGATTCACTTTAGGGTAGGAATTGTTGCAGCGTGAGATAACTAGTCCTGTACTAATGCACCCGAGAGTCTAGGATACAGGGCTGGAATACAGAATTATATCAAAATAATGCCATTAAGATATCCTGAGGGATGTTAACTTGAAAAAAAAAAATAAATAGTGTAACCAAACCAGCCATACTTGGGGGAAGAGTGCGTAGTGCTTTGTATTCAGTGTGAATTACAAGCCCTGACAACAGCTAGTTGTCTGTGGCAAAAATGTAACAAATTGTCATTTTTACTTTCCCTGGCTCTTGCAGAGTGTGCTGCAAAAACTCCCGGTTCAGCTGTTTTTATTAGAGATTTGGTGCTTTTAGATCAAAGTTCTGTGTGGAGAACTGAAACAGGTCTGGTGCTGTCTCTGTGATGCACAGTGTGATTGGGGTCCTTCAGTTTTCTCCTGTGTTACGGTAATAGCTGTGATCACAGAATCACAGTATGATTTGGGGTTGGAAGGGACCTCTGGAGATCATCTCCCCCAACTCCCTGCCAGAGCAGGGTCACCCAGAGCAGGTCCCACAGGAACGTGTCCAGGTGGGTTTGAATGTCTCCGAGAAGGAGACTCCACCAGCAGCCAGGGCTCTGCCACCCTCACAGGAAAGAAGTTCCTCCTCATGTTTAGATGGAACTTCCCATGTTCAAGTTTGTGCCCGTTCCCTCTTGTCCTGTCCCTGGGCACCACTGAAAAAAAGACTGGCCCCATCCCACTACTGAGAACTTATAAATTCTGGTCATATTAATGAGTTGTGTTTTTTTTTTTTAACTTGGGTTAATGATCACACAATACTTTTGTGCACTCATTATAATTTTCTATAATCATGTGTGTGTGATTATAGAAAATGATAATGATCGCACAAAAGTATTTGGAAAGCTCTTTTGGGCACTGTCTTATTTAGCTTTTAGAACTAGTATAGGGCTGCTTATATCTGTAAGCTACAGAATGTCTTTTGTACAAAGAGGGCTGACTGGCTGAGTGTTGAAGCATGCAGAAACATTCATTATCCCTTTTTTCCCCTCTTTTTTTCCTTTCCTCCCTGTGATCAGAGAGCTGAGCCTAAACTGCAGGAAAAAGTCCCGAGAACTGTCCGGATGGGAAACTTTTGGAGAAAGAGGCGAAGGGAAAGATCAGATTCTTAAAAATTGCTCAATAGCCAAATCTCTGTGCCCTAAAGGGCGAAACCGCTGATGCAGCGTGTTGTTTTCTGCGGGAGGACCCCGTGGGCTCGGGGTGTGCGCAGGGGCCGGGCACTGCTGTGCCAGGAGTAACAGCCGGGGGTGTGTTTCTGGCTCCCAGCTCTAACTCCTGTGATTAGAGCTGTAGTAACATGTGGATGGAGAAATCTGGTGTAAGAATGGGAACTGTGAAGCTGTTGGGTCGCGCTGGCTGAAACTCTCCTCCGCTGTTTTCCAGAGAAAATTGGATTCTCTTATAAGTGACTTCTGAAAAAAGGGTCTGTTTTCTTTCCAGTATTTTTTTTCCAATGAAATGTCCTGTCAAAAACTATTGAATTTTCTCTGGGAGCTCACGTTTCAATTTGAACGTTTAGGTTGAAAATAAGAACCCTTTATAATAAAAAGTTCAGCTGGAGAGAACTGACTGCAATAACTAACTTTTAATATGTATTTAGGGTTTTTTTTTATAAACTTGTTAGAAGTAGCTTGGGGCATTCTCAATAATTACTATGGACTGCAACTTTTACTTGAAATACTTAGTGCTCAGACCACATTAAACAGATAAGGTCTTGTCTCGTGAAGTAGTTTCTATTTATGTGGCCCAGAAGGGCCTCGCAAAGGACATAAGATGCTTGCAGAAGTACAGCCAGGCCAAGGAGCAGCACGTAGCTGTGCTCCCATCGGAGTGCAGGGGAGGAGGAGAGGCGGGGGAACAGCTTGGAGCGGATTTCGGGGGGATGAATGGAACTCCTCTTCGTGACAGGGAGCACCATGGCATCGGCTCGTGACTGCGGCCAGAACAGAGACACTGCTTGAGACTGGTCCAAAAGGCTTCTGCGCGGTGTGTTTCATGATTAATGGCCAGTCTGGCTGGAGGAGGCTTTTTACCAGGGTATTTCACCGACACAGCACTGCGAGTAGGGGTGTGGATGGAACGTGAAGCCACGTTGTTTGGTGACTGTTTGCCCAAGTACAACATGACGTGCTTGTATGAGATGCCTGCACTGGGGGTGTAGCTGATGGGGGGAGAACGGCTGGAGAGCAGCCCTGAGGAGAAGGACTTGGGGGTGTTGGGGGGTGAGAAGCTCCACACGCCCCTCAACGTGCGCTGGCAGCCCAGAAACCCCCCACCCCTGGGCTGCATCCCCAGCAGCGTGGCCAGCAGGGCCAGGGGGGGATTCTGCCCCTCTGCTCCCCTCTGGGGAGACACCCCCCAGTGCTGCCTCCAGCTCTGGGGCCACCACCAGCAGAAGGACATGGAGCTGTTGGAGCGGGGCCAGAGGAGGCCCCGGAGATGCTGGGAGGGCTGGAGCCCCTCTGCTGGGAGGGGGGGCTGAGAGAGTTGGGGGGGTTCAGCCTGGAGAAGAGAAGGCTCCAGGGAGACCTTGGAGCCCCTTCCAGTCCCTCAAGAAGGGGGGCTCCAGGAAAGCTGGGGAGGGACTCTGGATGAGGGAGGGGAGCCCTAGGAGGAGGGGGAAGGGTTGGACCCTGCAAGAGGGGAGATGGAGCTGAGCTGTGGGGAAGAACTTGTTTGGTGGGAGGGTGGTGAGAGCCTGGCCCAGGTTGGCCAGAGAAGCTGTGGCTGCCCCATCCCTGGAGGGGTTCAAGGGCAGGTTGGAGGGGGCTTGGAGCAACGTGGTGTGGTGGGAGGTGTCCCTGCCCAGGGCAGGGGGTGGCACTGGGGGGGCTTTGAGGTCCCTTCCCACCTAAACCCGTCTGTGATTCTAAGACTCTGTGCTGATGTTGCTCACTGCAGTCTGATAAAAAAATAGTAGATGTGTGAATTTGCAGAGCTTCAGGCCATCCTTGAGCGTGCTGGGCTGTCTGTTGCTGGGCCGGGGGTACGGTGTGTCAGGCTGCTGAGGTGACATCAGAGCTGCTGGTGATTGCCAGGGGTCCCTCCCAACCTGGGGCTTTCACTGTTCATCCACCGGGTCTGTAAAAGGATCTGGGTTAAAACTTGTGCACAGAGTTCAGTTGTGTGTCTGGCCAAAGCCATCTGCTTGAAGGGTGATGGGCAGAGGCTGGTGCTGGTCGGACTGGAGCTGGTGGGGAGGTTTCTGTTCAACTTGCCTCTGGAGCTGCTGAAGGCTCTCTATCGGTGTCATAAACAACTCCATGAATACAGATGTGATGACGGGTGCTGTTTAATGTCTATTCTTATTAAATCTTACAACCGTAATGTTGAAACGGGACCAAAAGTGTTCTCTAAAGAAAGGGAAAGTGCTCTGTATTTCCTTTAGTTCTGTTTCCCCCCCATCCTCCTGTGTTTTCCATGGCCACCTCTGCTTTGGAAGAAATGTTAGGAGATCATCTCTGATTTTGTTTGCAAGAGTCGCATGAGATGTTGGGAGCTCGTCTGCCCGGCCAAAGTCTGTTAGTTATAGAGAATAGTAAACTTGGGAAGCGTTTCAGCATGAGAAGTTTCGCAGCAGCAAATGTGGAACTGTTTTCAACTCCATTATTCCGTGTTAATGGCACAAACTGAACGCAGAAAGGCCCCTTTTGGCTGGAGTTTCCACTTGAGGTTGTGTTAGACAAATCGCTTGCTTAAATTGGATGATTTGTAGTTGTAGATGTGCATTGTGGATTTTTCTTCTTTTTTTTTTTTTTAATTTATTTTTCACTTTTTAACACAAGACAAAGGATCTGTTAATTTAAGCAATTTTGGTCATTTATAGGGGCTTTTTCATGAAGACCCACAGCGCAAGGGGGCTCTCCTTGTGTTCTGCTAGCGTTGACACTGGCCGAAACCATCAGTGGAGAATAGAACTTCTTTGGAGAAAAGGGTTATGGCAGAATAAGCATGAATTCACTTTTCCGGTATAATGTGCTTATGGTGATAAAGCACATCCTTACTATATGGGAACACAGTTTACTGGAAGAACCTGATGAGCCCAAGGGGTTTCTGCTGCGATAACTCTGCGTGTAGCGAAAGGTGAAAATTTCTAGGGGATGTTTATGGATGAGCTGACTGTCTTGGGTTATTTTTATACTTTGCAGATCAGAAATGAAAAGAGAGTCCCCCTCCTGTATGCTTTTTCTTCTTTTATACGTGCACTGAGAGTCAGGAGCAGATTTTAATTCTGTTGCTGCCCTGTTTTCTAGGCCAAGATGTATCTATAGAATTCCTCATCTGACGTTTCTGAATTTAAACTGGGTTTATTGGTGCTGTTGGGTTCGGGCTGTCGCAATCCAGGCCCTGACTGAACCCCATAGATGGGGGGAAGCACAACCCTGGATTTGTTCTGTCTGGCTTGTGGTACTCCAGGTGTTTGTGTAGGAAACCTTGTTGGGAAACACGACCAAGGTCACACTCGGCTTCTAAGCCGCTGTCTGTTCCATCCCAAATGTCCCCACTGCCTTTACATTGGCTGTTTCTCCTTTTTGAGATTGGAACTTCAATATTTTGCTTTTCTTTGGTTATTCTCTCATGTGACTCCTACATATGGGGTTAACCTTTTGCCTTCTGAAAATAAAAGCTTTTCTAGTAAAATGGGAAGTGTTCCTTCATACCCTTACTGTATGAACAGCCTTCAGAAATGTTTGCCTTATTTTTGCCCCTCTCAGTCATGAGATTTTTATCAAGGCGTCTAAAGGACTGTGCGAAGTTTCTTGGAATGACAACTTCTACAAGACTGGTTGATCTTGAGTGTATAAACTGGTTATACCAGGGGAAATCTGTTTCCTCAAGCAAATATGAAAGCTGTGATATGGATGGCAGAAGCTTCTATTTGACTTACATCATGTCCTTCCGTGTCCTGAAGGAACAGAGATAATCCCAGCCGTTTTCTGTCCTCTGTCCATTAGTGCTTCTCTTCTATTCCCTCCCTTCCCCTGGCCCTACCCTTTGCTGTAGAATTGCCCACTGGTAACCCTATAGAAATGACATTTCTGCATCAGGAGGCAAGGGGAATTATTTGAGAGGGAGCCTTTACACTTCCAACTCTTGAAGGTCCTTTGATACTGGACTCCTAATTAAAAGGTGAAAGCCACTTGCAGAAGCAAATGTCTAAATATAATGTTAACTTTGTGCATCTGGACTCTGGTAGCTGAGGCTTCACAAGATGGATACAGCAATTTATACAGGAGCTCATGTAACTTTGCTAAAACAGATTTTTTTTTTTTTTTTTTTTTTTGTAGCGTGGTGCATATATGTGCAGCTCCAAGGGCTTTATTGGCACGAGTTTGGAATGGCTAAACTCAGTTGTGCTCCCGAGTAAACTCCCAAATGAAAGTCAACAAACATCTGTGCCTCACAGCCCCGTGTGTGCTTGTAACACACCAGTTTTAATGTGTTTTGTGCGTGCATCTCTTCTTTATCAGTTCACAAAAAGCTCTGTGTAATCAGGCCTCCTTTTCTTTTTTTGTGTGCTGTGAGGTGGTTTTTCCCCCTACACCGATACCCGCTCCAACTGTTTATTTGATGCTGTATTTTAGAAAGCCATTGGCTGTGTGAGAATGGTAGTGCCCATATGGAGATGTGAGCACGTACCAGCTGCTGGGGCGATGAAATCAGCTGTTCATTGTGGAACTCGCACTCAAGTACCTCCTGCATACCAATAATCCTCAAGGGGATCAGCTACACAATTCCTGATTTCAGAAAATGACAAAGAAATAAGTAGAATGACAGTTCCTTCATGTAAATCTTCTGCTCCTCCATAGAAACTTGAAAAATGTATTTCCTTAAGCTTCATTTTTTCTTAGAGGGCTCATTTTGCTGGGTTTAATGGGCTCGGTGGCAATCAAAGACTCCTTTCCTAGTCTGCTTGCCATTTATATTCTTAAAAAGATTGCAATTCCTGTAATCTTCTGAAAAACAGCACACCTGATGTCCCTCTGAAAACATCTCTCCTTTTCTTTTTATTTCAGGACAAACACCATGATGCTGCTCACGAAATTATCGAGACAATTCGGTAAGTGTTCAGTGCAGACGTGGCTACAACCCTTCCCTGTGTCTTCCAGCATCTCGGTGAATGGACGTCTTGAGACAAGATATAAAGGAGGGCAGCAGTTGTAATTATAATTTAGCAGCTCTAAATTACTTTCTAAGTGGAACTGATATTGTTGCAATACAAATCTCCCGTCAAGCAGACTTTTTTTTTTTTTAACTTGCCATATTCTGTTCTCCTTTGAAGAGAATTAAAAATGGATAGTGATATTCAACTTTTGGTGCTGCTTATAATGAAGATGACATTGCTTCAAGGAAGCTCTGCCTCAGTAACCAGAGACAGCAGTCTGTTTTCTTTAGAAAAACAAGTTTAAGAAAAGATCATTGGCAGGATGTCTTAAGTTTCTGGTCTTGCATATCCTCTTCCCCACCCTCTTCTTTCCCCTTGTTGCTGTGATGTTGCAGCATCATTAGCATTTGCATTAATTGGCAATGATGCCCCCATTAGCCTTGCACTTAATTCTGCTGATAGAGTTGGACCAATGTGGGGGAAATAGAGGATAAAGGTGAAAGACAAATAAGAGGAGCAGAAAGTGTGAATATTTCCCAACACAGGCAGTGGTTATGCCATGGCTTGGGGGTGTTTCAGCAGGGTTCAGGAGTGACTTGCTGTATAACTTTTATTAAATGCTAACACAAACTCCCCAAACACCTGAGGCACCTTAATGTGTTCTCTACATTAGGTTGTTTAAAAGCTGCTCTCATTAACTGTTGTAGACCCCTACTGTACAGGCTTCCCTTGGCTGAGGGCTGTATCTGCCGCAGGATTTAATGATTGGATGGTGCAGACACAGGTGAGGTACAAAGAAGGGTGTTTTGTCTGCAGAAGCCTCCTGACCTTGCAATTTGGTCAAGAATATGGCCTAGGGAAAGGTGGTGGCCCTTGCTTGCTCCCAGCATGGTGCCATGGCTTGGGGGTGTTTCAGCAGGGTTTGCTGTAGAACTTTTATTAAATGCTAACACAAACTCCCCAAACACCTGAGGCACCTTAATGTGTTCTCTACATTAGGTTGTTTAAAAGCTGCTCTCATTAACTGTTGTAGACCCCTACTGTACAGGCTTCCCTTGGCTGAGGGCTGTATCTGCCGCAGGATTTAATGATTGGATGGTGCAGACACAGGTGAGGTACAAAGAAGGGTGTTTTGTCTGCAGAAGCCTCCTGACCTTGCAATTTGGTCAAGAATATGGCCTAGGGAAAGGTGGTGGCCCTTGCTTGCTCCCAGCATGGCTGTGAGAGCAAGTCCTTGCATTGTGGGGTTGATAATATCAGTTATATACCTGAAATCATAGCATTCTCCTGTGGTCTGTGCTGGGAGAGAACGCGTAATGGGGATTAGAGGCTAGAGCTGAGAATTCATCTTTATAAAGAGATTTCTTTTCCTAACTACAAAACCTTGACACGAGGCACTGCCACTTTCAGTTCCCTTGTACCGATGTTGATAAGATTCTGTGCCTTGGGAACTTGGGGCATCATTTGTCACTACGATTATGGAGAAGACCTTTTCTGAAGGGATTTAAATAGACGTGGTGCTGGGAGCGATGGCCGGGGTCCTGGGTGCTGGTGCTTCTCGTGCTCCACTGGCTGAGGGTGAGGGGAAAACCGTGTTGGAAAGCAGTCAATGTGATGTTTCACAACTGTGTTTCAAGCACTATTGCAGTGAACACGGTGTTGTGAGAAGGCTTTCACGCTGCCTCGTGCGAAGTGACCGCAGTGTGGTTATGGAAAAGATGGGTAAAAGAGTGAACAGAAGCATTTGTCTCTTCAGGCCAGTGATAAACAGCTGCTGACTGTCCATTCCCCTAATCTAAGTGATAAAAATTTGCAGAGATTTTAGGGAGATGGGAGATATTAGTCAGAAGAGACTCAACAATGGATGGACAAGTTTTATTCTTTTACTTACCTATATATTTATTTGGTAAGAGCAAATCAGCCAGAAGGAAGCAGAACTATTGGACCTTGTGTCATGTTTTTTCCCCCATTTTAAACGTGAAGTGTGCATCGAGGTGCAAGAAGAAAAACTCTGCCATTCCTATTGGAATTTGTCCTGTGACATGCTCTGAGGTGGTTTAATGAGGATAGTGCTCTCATTTAGGCTTTTGGAGGAAAGTGTGTGCAAAGCTTACATGGCTGTTAAATTGTCATTGAAAGGAATTAATCTTCCTCCGTTCCAAGGGCAAAGCTCTGCTCTTCTCTGAGCTGCCCTTGTCAGATGAGCTGGGAGCGGGTGTGTGTTTCCCATTTCTAATGGCACAACACACGGGGCTTTGTTAACTCCCCATGTAAAAGGGATCTTTTCTTCAAATGACTTTGGAAAAATCTGTTCTGGGTTGGGTGATGTGAGGTGTAAGAGCAGCTCAGAGCACTCCCCAGAGGAGGATGTCCTCGCAGTGGTGGCATCCTTTTGGGGCGCTGTAGGAAATGTCTTCTCCACATTCGGCTTTTCTTCCCAAATTCTTCCCAAATTTTGCATTTCTACATTACTTTTCATGTTCGATTAGCATCAGCCATGGTGTTGAGTATTTTTAGACACATTGAATACATTTAGCACCTCGGTTTGAAGTTGTGCCATTTCAAGAGCTCTGTACTACTGCCAGTGTCTACAGGCACCTCGCTGTTTTTTCAGTACAAACATGAACTACCGCAGCTTCCAGTGAGCATTTTGTCATGTCTGCCTTCCTCCTCCTTTGTCATGTCCTTCCTCCTACCAACGTTGTCACCTTGCAGCTCTGCTGCAGTGTTCTATCTTAACACAGAGCAGTGCCGGGCTAGAATTGAGACAGATTGCCTTATTATACTTAATTGGAGATATTTTTATTCATTATTTCTTCTCTCGTTCCAGGTGGGTCTGTGAAGAAATCCCAGATCTCAAGCTTGCTATGGAAAACTACGTTTTAATTGACTATGATACAAAAAGGTGAGAGGAATATTTTATTTCCCTCCAGGAGGACAGGCCAGCGCGGTTTAGAGTGAGTCACTTTGTAGCTGGTTATTCTTAGACACTACGAACTGCAGTTTTTTTTCTTTTAGAACTGGCTTCAAACTCTGCAGAGTTATTTTGGTAGGAAATGTGTAACAGCAATATTGGCAAAGGCTGTTGGATCAAGGACATAATTGGAAACTCCACACAGCAGAAAGTTGAGCTCTGGTGTACGTTGGAATGACTCACTCCGAAACAATGATCGGTATCTGCGCTGTTGGACTGCGTCCAGCGGTAGGAATCTGAATGGCACTGAGGTTTTTACTTCTGTAGTAACTAAGAATTCCTGTTTGGGAAGTGGCACAGTGGCCAGAGCTGGCTGTCAGCCCCACAGCCCCCCTCCCTGCCCTGCCGGGGTGGGGAGGGGGTTAACCTGCCCCATCCCTCGCTGGGTGGGATTCAGTGCAAGTGGGATGTTTTTTAGGTGAGGGGCTAAATTCAATGCAAACTACTCACACTGCTCTTCGGGGCAGTTAGAAGTAATTTTAAGATGCTTGTTGTTACATGTGAACACCTTTTCCACAAACAGCCTAAAATGAATGTCTAGAATGTGGTGTTCACCTCGAGGCCGGGAGAGGCAGATTCTGAGGTTCAGTTATTGACTTGGCTCTGCTGAGACTGGAAAAAGAGCTCACCCTCAAGCTGTGGTTTACAAAAAACCTCCTTAGTTGCTTTCATGGCAAAGACTGAATATGTTCAAGTCCACAGCCTGACTAAACTTCTAAAATGAGGTTTACAGATGAAACTGCATCGCTCTAATAAACCACTGGCTATTGTCCTGAGCACAGATACTTGTATTGTGATCTGATTAAGGTATTGCTTCCTCCTCTCTTAATAGTATTTTAATTGTTGCACTGCAAGACTTGGTAGTCCCTCTCTTTTTTCCTGAAAAATTCCAAAGGAGAAATCAGGGTTGAGCATCCCTTGTCATCAAATCCATTAATTGGGATTTGAAGATTACTCACAGTGACTGCAATGCAAAACTTCTGTAGTTCTGGCACCCTCACTGGGCGTCAGTGTGGTCAGCAGCAACACCAAATAAAAGAGAAACCTGTCTGTTCCCCGCAGTCACACCCTACAGCTTTCTGCAGCTTTTCAAGGAGTTACAAACCTGTAATTTTGGTAATGGGTTTAGTCTTTTTTTACTCCCTTTGAAAAAATTCGTCAGAAAAATGACTTGTGGCAGATAACTGACATGTGGATGTGAATGGAGAGTGGTGGATTATAGAAACGCAGGCGCTGAGCAGCAAAAACCCATCTCAGCCTCTTGCTTTGTGGCACTGACCGTGGGCAGGCAAAGGCTTGTGGTGGGGTCAGCAGTGCTCCCCCGAGAGTGTCCCTCCAGCACAGAGGTACTGGGGATCACCAGAGACTGAAAAGCCACTTCCTTCTGATGTCCCCATGTCCCTCTGCCCCCTCCTGACTTGGAGATGGCTGTGATCTAATTATCTTTTTCCTGTAACTCCTTGGGTTGGTGGTTTTTGCTGCTGTTTTGCGGGTCTGGTTACGTAGTGGGTGATGTTCCCGGTAATATCTATTCTTCCCTGGCCTGAGATGAATTTATTTAATCCTCTCAGCTTCTGTCATTAAGGCATCTGCCTGAATTGCTGTAATCCCAGCCAGCCCACGGAGCAGTCGGAGTGCCTTTCTGATGGGTGACATTTCAGCTGCTGTCCTGGCTCCGTCTGCGTTTTCAGTCCCAGAGTTAATTTCTAGAAAAGCATCTGCTTGTCTCGGGACTGATTATCATGGAGACATGATGGAACAAAGGAGAAAAATTTAACAGATGTCTTAAATTTCTGTGCAGCTGAGAATATGGGAAGCAATGGACTATGAGAATACAAACTTTTTAATAAATTGTACTTTGAGTTCAGTCCTTTTTCTGTTAATTAAAGAAACTATTATTATTTGCCATATGCTCCTGGTCTACTGAGGAATTTTTTTAAGGGAAAGGGTATACAGAGTCCTAAAGCTGTGTATGTAATTACATGTTCTGCAAGAAACAAGCATAAGGTTGTACCTTCAGAGCTGTTTTTTTAGAGTTTTCTGGTTTTACCTGACCATGGGCTTTTCTCCCCATGCAGCTTTGAGAGCATGCAGAGGCTTTGTGACAAGTACAACCGCGCCATCGACAGCATTCACCAGTTGGTAGGTATTTACCTTCCCTACACTCCGGGATGTTTATGGGGCTGGTTTGAATTCCCATCGAGTGAGTAACAAACACCCAGGCAGCAGAGACCGACTGAGCTCTGGTTTATGTGTGTTAGTCGAGTTGCAGCACCTCCATTCTTTTGGAGACTTAATAAGTCTAATATTAAACCTTATTTTCTCGATCCCACCTCAGCAGTCAAGGAGTTTGTAGTGGAGGAGCATTCTTATAGGAAGAAAATGAAAAAATATTATTTTTTTCCCCCCAAACTGCAGATTTTTAACCTGTTACTCTTTAGCGTGCGCTTTTGGCACCATCATTTTGGCACTTGGAGTTGTCTTTAGGGGGAAGAAAAGGTTTCTCTGTATTTACCGTGTAGATGTTTCACAGGGATTTATCATATAGATTTACATTTGCATGGGGAAATCTGTGGCTTATGGGTACTTAAATAATCCATATGAGCTCTCCTGTGTATTGTGGAAGTGATCCATGGCTTAGGAATTTCCTTGCTTGTCACTCAGTTAGTTCAGCCTCTGTCTTCTGGGGGATCACTGGCGAAACTAGAATGTAACCTCTTTTCAGACCAATTTAACAAGCTTTTGGGTTTTCTTACCACTATACAAGGTTGATCTGGAGGAAGCAAAACATCAGCGATGAATGAATGTTACTATTGTGTTTAATTTTGAAAGTATAGGTGGATTCTGTCCTCTGCTGTGCTTTGGGAATTATTTGCAGTGTGCAGTATTATGGCAACAAGGCTTTTTTGCAAGGATTTTGTCGGCCTACAACTCCCTAAAACATGCTTGTTTGGAGTCAGGCGTCTTCATGTGGATTTTGGTTAATAACTAAAAATTTGAAGCTATTCAGCATTTGCAATTACTGTCCAAAATGGCCACCCTGGTTGGTTTCTTCTTGCCATCTGGATCTCAAGTAGAGGGAGAGAGGTCTTAGGAGGGCTCCTGGAGTTGTCCTCTTTCTGTTTGTTTTTCCTTGTCAAAGGGAGAGGTAAACATTTTTAAAAACTTTACAACTTGTATGTTCAGGGCAGGTTTTTTTTTTTTCTGAAGAAGAAAGGAAGCTTGATTTCCATCTCTTTCCTGCCACTCCCTGTTTGAGTACATACGATCCCTCCCATCCCAGGGTTCCTGCAAGAAAATAAAACTGCTCTTATGGTGACGGAACTGCCAACAGCAGTTCAGTGGGGATCAGGAAATAAAAACTGAGTGAATAAACTTGTACAGCTACTCTGACTTGTTCAGTATCAAGCTTTACATTGCTGGTTGATTTTTACATCTCTGATTTCCCCTTTACCTCCTATTTCCAACAGGCATATTTGAAATTACCTGTTGGTTGAGGTGAGACAAAGTACAGAGCAGTTGGTGGTGTGTAATTTCGTTAGTGTTCCCTGTTTTTATCTTTCCAGAGCACAAGGGAGAGAATTGTTCTCATTTCTACGTTATTCCAATGCAGCTTTGGTTTTAGTGATGTTCACTTACCCTCACCTTGGGTTCATTTCTTCTTCCTGCTCTTTCCTTCAGTGGAAGGGAACCACCCAACCGATGAAGCTGAACACTCGTCCCTCCAACGGGCTCCTGCGGCACATCCTGCAGCAAGTCTACAACCACTCGGTCACCGACCCGGAGAAACTCAACAACTATGAGCCCTTTTCCCCAGAGGTTTACGGAGAAACTTCCTTTGACTTGGTGGCCCAAATGATAGATGAAATCAAAATGACAGAGGATGATTTGTTTGTTGACTTGGGTAGTGGTAAGTGACCAATAATTCTTTTTTTTTTCTGCTCATTGTTTTTGCCTTTCTTTAAAAATAAAAAGAAAAAGGTGAAATTCATATTTGGAAAGTAAACCAGGCCTGAGGGTTGTGTTACAGGGTAAGCACCTTTTCTAGATGACCCTTAGTGATGCTCCTGCTTTTTATGACAAGATTAAATAGACCAAGCGGACATCCCAGACCGTCTTCCCTGTGGCGTTAGTGAAATGTCAGCCTCCAAATGCTGTAAATCCTTATTATAGAAAACTCTTGGTTTCTGTTGCTATTGGAGAATACATTTATAAAGGAGAAACAATGCTAAAAATGATGCTTGAAGGATAACAGTAGCAGTTCCGTTTCTAAGGTTTCATCTATTTTCAGTGGATTCAGTTCATATCTGAAAATGTGAGATCTCGACCCCTCCCACGCCAGCCTGGAACGCTTGGGGTGGAATTGGAAAATTAAGCAGTTTTTTTCCTCTGACACTTCTCAGCTGCCTTGTGAGACCCCATAAAAATCTCGCTTCCAACTACAGCTGCGTATCATGATCAGGTCGGAGTTTTAAAAGGAAATAGATGTTTCTAGTTGGTAAAGAAACTAGATATGACTCAAACACGTGTGGAAAAGATATACTGAGTAAGAAGATGATGTTCTTCTTTTTGTTGCTAAAATCTGGTTCAGAGCGGCAGAGGAGCAGTAAGAATTTCCCCTTTTGCTGGATGAGTTGTCAAGTTTTAGATGAAGTATGTTTTGGTTTTGTTGTTGGTATGATGCAGGACTTCTGGGGAAAAATACTATGTTTAAATATATGCAGTTGTTAAAAATCAAATCTATCTAAAATTTACGTACAGCAGGACTGTGATCTCCCCTCCAAATTTAATATATCTCCAGTGATATTTTTTAAATATTTTTTTTTTTTTTACCCCCCTTCTTCCTCAGTGGAACTTTTGTCTGAAATTTCCTGTTGGAATGACTTATGTTCAGATGAGACATTTAGAAAGGCCTCAGATCTGACAAACTATTTTCCATCTGGGAGAATCAAAACTTGCTGTAGATGCTCGCAATTGTTTGTTCAGGAAGGTCAAAGGAGATGGTATCTGAAGTTCTGCTGGTTACATAAGAAGCTCAAATGTTAGATGCTTTTACCCAATATCATCAGAAACAAAATCAGGTATTTATTGCTAAACTGCCCACTTTAATCTTGGAGATTGACCAACAGTGTAAAAAAAAAAATCCAGTCAAAAAAAGCTTGTATGAAGGGAATGGATTAAATTGAGAAATCTGTGACTGTTAATGAGCGCTGAAACAATTAAAACCAGAACGTTGTTGTTGAGTCTGTACCGAAGGCATAAACTTCTTGTAAATGGTGATCAGGGCAGTATTGAGTGTGGTGTAAATGAAAATGCTGTCACAGCCCATTATTTCTCTTGGTAAATTTAAAGCCATCCCAATAACTCCATGTACCCAGGGGGGCTGAGCCCCCCTCGGACGCTGTGGCTGGTGTTTGTGACACCAGGAATATGGGGCTGGTTGCAGGAGAGGTTTCTGGAGGTGTGCATCATAGTTAGCCAGCTGAAATGACAATAATAGGGTTAATTCATTGCAAAAATAAAAACCAAAGACAGACAAGATTAATAACTTCTTATGCCGATGATAGCTGACGGAGCAGAGTGGTCTTGATTGCCCTTTAGTCTTCATCCTCCTTCTTCTTCATAAATAAGAAACAGTGAAAGTTCTGCCTCAGATCTCTGATTGTCCGTGTGTCCTCCCCTCCCACCCCTGGCAGAAATTTGTATGTCCATATTTCCATCTGTATAAAATATGCATGTGTATGCAAAATGGGAATTGGGAAAAAAAAAAACCAAAACCAACCCAAAAAACCCCAATAACAACCCTCCCTGTCAGCACCACAGTTCTTGTTGTGCCAGACAACGTTCTGGTGGTGATGGTTTAAAGGCAGGAGTTTCCACCCCTGTGATTCCCAGTGTTCCCATTCTCCTCACCAGCACCAACAGTGGAGCTCAGTGGTGTGTGTTTGTGTGTGTTTGTGTGTGTGTGTGTGTGTGTGTGTGTGTGTGTGCTGTGCTATGGGCTCTGCTCTGAGAGTCTGAGATGTGGGGAAGAACTTGTTTGGTGTGAGGGTGGGGAGAGCCTGGCCCAGGTTGGCCAGAGAAGCTGTGGCTGCCCCATCCCTGGAGGGGTTCAAGGGCAGGTTGGAGGGGGCTTGGAGCAACCTGGTGTGGTGGGAGGTGTCCCTGCCCAGGACAGGGGGTGGCACTGGGGGGGCTTTGAGGTCCCTTCCACCTAAACCAGTCTGTGATTCTAGGATTCTGTGGAATTATTTTGGGGTTTGGATCACAATTGCAGCTAAAATCTAAGAACTTGTTGAACTCCAAGCTCTGGTCTTGATGAGATGGGTTTTGCTGATACTTCCAGTGGCTGCCAGTAAGACCAGCACCGATGAAAATTAGAAGATATCTCTGTGTGTGTGGCCAGCTCTCCCTGGGATGGGAGGAGCCCCTCGGGCCTGCTGTGGCAGAAAGCCTTCTGCTGCTGAGGGAGCACTAGGTCACTTGTGTTCTCCACGCCATGGTGGCCCCATATTCCAGTTCCCTTGAAACTGCCCCAATCGGATGAAATTAGTTCAAAACGCCACCCAACACCCATCTTTTTGCAAACATGAAAGAAAAAACCAGTCCCAAACGCAGGGCAGGGGGTGGCACTGGGGGGGCTTTGAGGTCCCTTCCAACCCAAACCAGTCTGTGAGTCTATGATTCATTCTGTGATTCTCTCTCCTTTCCCATGGGGTCACTGGTGGCATGAGTAACTGCACTGGGGAGACAGGAACGCGTTTGGTCTTACTCATAGACAGAAAGTGATGCATCCATGTGCTACTGGTGAATATGGGACGTTTTTAAGAAAACCCGAAGTGACTGCTTTAACAGATGTGGAGGGACATTGCTCTACTGTGTGTAAAATGTGGGTCACTCACACAGAGAGAAATCTACTGAATATTTTTCCTTTTTTCATTCTAACCTAAGCTGGGGTGGGGGAGAAGGAATGCATTCTGGCAAGGTGGAGAAATGGCAGCTAATTACTGCTGCGCTTGATGCAGGTAGAAGTTCATGCATTTTTAAGTAATACTCAGCCTTGCCAGTGGTTGCTTTGAAATTTTGAGTGTTAAACCCTATAATATTTTCTAAAGTAGCATTTTAAAGTAGCTCATCTTGAATCAGAGAACTGTCTGGGTTGGAAAGGACCTTTAAGATCATCAAGTCCAACCATCAACCCAACCCTGCCCAAGCCACCACTGACCCATGTCCCTCAGCACCACGTCTGCCCGGCTTTTAAATCCTTCCAGGGATGGTGCCTCCACCACTGCCCTGGGCAGCCCATTCCAAGGCTTCATAACCCTTTTGATGAGGAATTTTCCCTCATATCCAGCCCGAACCTCCTCTGGGGCAACTTGAGGCCGTTTCCTCTTGTCCCATCACCTGTTCCTTGGGAGAAGAGACCGACCCCCCCTGGCTACACCCTCCTTTCAGGGAGTTGGAGAGAGCAATAAGGTCTCCCCTCAGCCTCCTTTTCTCCAGGCTGAACCCCCCCAGCTCCCTCAGCCTCTCCTCATAAGACTTACTCTCCAGACCCATCACCAGCTCCATGTCCTTCTCTGGACCCGCTCCATCCCCTCAATGTCTTTTTTGTGGGAAGGGGCCCAAAACTAGACATAGCCCTCGAGGTGGGGCCTCACCAGTGCCCAGTACAGGGGGACGGTCACCTCCTGAGCCCTCCTCATTATGCTGCTCCTGACACAGGCCAGGATGCTGTTGAGCAGCTTATAAATAAGCTTTACGTGTTCTCAGACTCTGTGCTGTGTTTCATGGCGAAAACCAGTACAAATATTGCTGGACCATGACAAACATTTTAGCCAGTCTTTAAATTAATGGTGTAGGAATGAGACCAACAAGTGTTTATCTTGGGATGTGGTAGGGTTCGTCTAACTGTTTGTTCAATTAATTAAATAGAGAATTACAGGGTAAAACCTAGAGACTTGATGGAATACGTATCAAATCTGTGGACAAAAAAAATTTAAAATGCAGCTGTTTTGAAACCTGTGTGAATTTGTAAAATTGAGCCTGTGATATTTAATAAAAGTAGCCATTAACAATCCAAACACTGCTGTAAATGTTGTAGTTGAAATTGTACCCCGACCCCTAGTCCCACAGCTTACCTGTGTTTTTCCTGGTGGCCTTTGCTCCGAAAGCTCTTCCCTCCCCTTGCAGTGATTTTTTTTTTTCTACTGGAACTTGTTCTCAGGTTTGTTTTCTCTTCCCTGCAGGTGTGGGGCAGGTGGTGCTTCAAGTGGCTGCAGCCACAAACTGCAAACATCACTATGGTGTGGAGAAAGCTGATATTCCAGCCAAATATGCTGAGGTGAGGTGGTTTTTGACTCGAGTTGTGTGTGTGTGCCTTATTCTGGGCTGAGAGGTTCAGGATTACTGCCGAGGGCTCTGCAGCAAAGCTCCAGTCCCAGCTGCTTTTGCTCCTGGGGTTGGAGAGACCGGAGCACGGTGTGCTTGGGGAAAGAAGTGTCTGTCTAATCATTTGCCAGCAGTGCCCACGAAGGGCACAGAAGGAGCACTTCCATGTTTCTGAAGTGATTTCAGGATGCAAAGGTGTTTTACCAGGGGTGGTGTGGGACCTGTTCAAAGGGAAGCGCAGTGTAAGCCTCACCCTAACTCCTGCAATCCTTCTGTGTCCAAAATGGCTCCAATACACGGCTTCCAGAGACCAGAGCCTTAAGCAAATCTAGGAATGAATTCCCCAAACAAATAGTTCTTACAGGTTTAGAACAAAAAGTTCTTAAGGTCTTAAAGACCTTAAAGGCTATTTTCTGCTTACAGGAGTGATACCCCGTTCTGCTGTCCTAAATCTGAAGTTCAGCTTAGTTATTAAACTGCTGTAGGCTGATTGATGGGGCCTGTGTTGGGAATCTGGTTAATAACTGCTTAGTAGGCACCTAAATGAAGCCTTACTAGAAGAAAACCATCATGTGTAGTCAGGCAAGCAGTTTTCTATCCACTCCTTCTCATTCTGTGCCAATGGGGACACACAAAGATAATCAGTTCCAAGGCAAACCTGGAAGGCAAATGAGCTACGAGCAAACAATAAAGGTTAGTCATGCCTTACCATGAGAAGCTGACTTTCTTCAGCAGACTGAACAGAAACTTAACCCTCCGTATTGTTATAACAAGCTGACTCAGCCTCTACAGGCTGGAAAATTATACCTTATGAAGGGAGAGGGGAAAAAAATTACAAATCCTTGATCCTCCTTTTCAGTGGTGTGGGCAAAAATGCATAAACAGTGGTGAAGGGGAGTAGACAAGCATCTGAAAATCTATTTTGTTTCCTCTGCCATCACCCAGTGGAAATTTCCAGCTGGTGGCCCCTGTGCAGTCCCTCTGGGTGAGCTTTGTGCTGGCCTTAGGGAGTCGCTTGCAAGGCCCGGGCTCCCGTCTGTGTTTACTATTAAACTAAGAGATGGGTGTTAAAGTGGGAAAGTCAAATTCTTCCTTTCAGTAATACCCCTTCAAGTCATTGTGCAAACACAAGGCTTTAGTGAAAAGGGTTAGTGAACAAAAAAAAAAATACCCACAAATTTAATATGAGGAGTATTAACCCATGGGGTACCTTCAATTGCAGAAGTGCACGGATATTTCATCAGATTAGGGGATGAACAAAATATACCACGTTATTCTTCTGGTTCCAGACCAATTCCTGTCAGATGTAACAGCTAAACAGCCGCCGCAGTGTGAGTGTGAAGCTGCCTGTGTACAGCTCATCTGCCTGGGGCAGTGGGTAACGGGCAGGTTTTTCCTCCCCACCTCTGATAAACGTTTATGGAAAGGACTGGATTAAGTTTCTAGTTGAGATTGGCTGCGGCAGCACATCTCTGCTTGCCGTGATAATTCATGCAGACAACTCTGAAAAGCTTCAACTGAAGAGGAGGAATGTTATGGATTTGTTTTAATGAAGCTGTCTTAAAAAAAAAATTAATTAAAATGTAAGCTCGCACAGCATATGAAAATACTGAAGATTTTGTGAGTTATCCTACTAAGTTTTGGAGTGCTTTTGAAACATAAAGAATTTAAAAACACACCCCTTCAAAAGCACACGCTGTTGTATTGACCTGCTCAGGGGGTCTCCACCATCTCCAGGCTGTCAGTGAAGCCAGAATTCCTGCTGTGGCTTCTCTTCCCTCTCTCCTTCCCCTGCTACCTCCAAATTTGGGTCCTCCCATTTGTGGAGTCAAATCCTAAAGATCAGGAGGGGGTTTCTTTCAGTCTTCTAAGAGTTTCATTTTCAAATATGTTGTGTGGGTGTAGCTGGGACCTTCACTGCTGCTCTGATGGCCCGTGCTGCGTATTATTGTCCATTTATATAGATGGGGACAAGACTTTGTAAATGTGAGGATGCGTATGTACATCATACCTTGATGTATGGGGTTTTGGGTTCCTTTCCCCTATATTTGGGTGATAGAAGACTGGTGGAAGCTCCCTGGTGGGTCGTAGCAGCCCCCTGGTCTGTTCTGACGTAGTCGACGTCGAGAGCGATGCTCCTTCCCTGCGCTGCTGCAATAATTGCACACTGGGTTCTGCTTCCTCAGTCACCCTGACAGACCTTTATCCCGACTTTTCCCTTGCTCTCTGGGCTTAGACCGGGCTGCATTCGGTGCCCTCGCTGTGGGATTATGTCCCACAAACACAGCAGCTACTTAAGGCTGCACCATTTTTAGCGCTGAGCAGTGTCAGCCCAGGTTGCCTTGCTTGGAGCATGTAACTGATGCAATGGTGGAAGAAGAAGATTTGTTTTTAAGGAAACTCAACTGTTTGCCTGTCCTTTGAGTGCTAATGGCAAAAAAAACCCTACCCCAAACCAACCAAACACAAAATGAGAGTGAATGAACACTGTCAGAGCTGCATCTCCTTTGATTGCCATGTAACTGTTAACACGAGATTTCCTAATTAGTGGTTTTCTTTTTCTTCTCTCCTCTAGACGATGGACAGAGAGTTCAGAAAGTGGATGAAATGGTATGGGAAAAAACATGCAGAATACACAGTGAGTGAAATTCAGCTGAAAAACTTTGTTCCATGCTGATGCACAGAATTTACAAAGTCCTCTTCAGCCTCTTGCCAGCCAAGCAGCAGCACGAGTTGTACCTGCTTCTACTGGCTTTTGTCTTGATCCTGAGACATCCTCCCAGGCCCCCCTCTTTGTCTTACTTGCCATGTGATATGGTGTTACTGGGAGCACTTTCAGATCTTTTCAGAAGCTCTTGGAAGATTTATTCTTGTAAAATTTAACTGGGGCTGCCATGTATCTTCTGTTTGTATTAAATCTCCTTTATTTCCTCCCCCCCACTCCCCGTGGTGTGGGGGTTCTGCTGTGTAGATTGTTGAAAATGGCAGCTCCTCCTTGGGTTTCTGAAACTTCCTGCTAGAAACAGAAGCTGAAGCTACAGGGGAAAGAGTGCTCACCTGGGAGAGGTGGTGGAGCAGTGGGATGGCCAGGGTTTCCACCCTGGGGAGCACGGGGCTGAGATGCTGGATGAAGGGCAGCACTGGGAGATGAGAGCAGAAAACTCCAGCACCAATTAAGAGGGTGGAGGTGAGGGGTGGGGTGTGGGCTCAGGAAGGATAGTGGGGGGCATTGGTTCTGACTTGGAAGGGATTAAAATGAGATGCTCTGAGGGTGGAGATAGCCCAGGAGGAGTAAAGGGGTTATCACAGGGCATCTCTCTCCCTGGGGCTAGGGACGCATTGAAATAGCTTTCCCCTTCCTCTGGATGCTATTTAATAGTTGTGGATGTGTTTTCCATGCTGTAATGCTACTTTGGACCATATGTAGAGTCATGTACTGTCTTGTGTCATGCCTTTTCCTTTTCTCCCTCTTCTTAAATGTCATCGAGAAAATCTACTCTCTAGTTAATCACTTTCCAGTGAGGAAATGTGGATAATTATAGTACAATAGGAACCCACTGGGAGTTCTGAAAATATATATGTATTTCTGCTGCTCGTGCCCCTTCCCGATGGTCAGGGAAGAGGCTGGATGGATCAGGGTTGTTTCCTCTGTGCCCAGAGAAGTTGGGTCACTCTTTCCTGCCAGCAACATGTGCTGCAGTTGAAGTGCAAGTGTTTGGGGAACCACTACTTCATTTTCCTTTTGTCCAGAGCCCTTATTGTTGTTACTGGAACGGTCTGAACCGCAGCGTTCCAGCAACGGGGAATCCAATGGCAGGTTGATGATGGCCAGCCTTTCTTTCCCAATTTTCCACGTCTTCTGGGATGTCCAGTGCTCTGTAGAGGGTTTATCTTGTAACGAGGGGTGGAGAAGGTGACAGTGACACCTGCCTCGGTGTCCTTTCTTCCTGCAATGCCTTTACTCTACAGCACAGCTCTCTTCTGAGGGGCGCTGGGCCTGCTGTGGGCCTGGTTTGCAGCAGGATTGATATCAGGCTGCTAACTCTTTCCTGCTGTGGAAACATTGGGAATGCTTTACTTTTCATGAAATGGCCATATGGCATTTTTCCATTGTGTCACCCAGCTGGCATCGCATGAAAGGGATTGTTACTGAAGATACTCTGCTTATGAGCTGTGTAATTTAAAGAATAGGGTAGGAACTTGGACTGAAATATTGAAAGCATATTGATTGCCGTAGGCAGCGAGCATTTCCATATTGCACATTCCAAGTGACAGAGTCTGGGACTGTATGGAAACAAAGCTACTTCTTTTTCACTAGGTTCTTTGGCTTTTAGAACTCTGTTTCCTGAAAAGTGTTTAGGAGTAAAATTTCTCCTTCTTGATTATCAGTCTGCTTTTCTGGGAAGAGTCGAACTTCTTAAGGGAAGTTGGTTTCATGTCACCGTGTCGTAGTGATGCTCAAAGATAGACACACAGGACAGATATTATGTAGTTTTTATTGTTTCATCAAGCACCTTGGCTTACATTTGCTTTTTCTTCCCAAACAGTATATTTTGTTTAGTAAGTCCTTAGACAGCGTCTTCTGTAGGTGACTATCGTTAAACAAAGAGCCAACTTGTCTCCTAATGCAGCTGGAAGACACTGAAAGGCACGAAATTAAAAGCCTGGTATCTGTATCTTTCTGGAAAACAACTTTGTCCCTGCAAAAAGCTAAGTGGGATCCCAAAATTCCCAATGTTGGAGACAAAATAAGCACAAATTGAAATAGTCTGTTATCAGCAGAGCTTAACTTGTGAATTCCACTCTGATGTTTTAGGCAGTCATATGAAAAATAAATATTTTGAGACGAAGAAAATGTTGGGAGGAGGGAAGCTTGGCAGAAGTTCAGTGGGAAGAAGGCTCCGATCCCACCTGCGGCTTTGTCTGAACAATCGAGACAGTGGTTTTGCCTTCACGCACGTAGCAGCTGCCTTCCTGTAAAAGTGAGAGCTGTGGTACAGAGGCAGCAATAAATCCTGGAGCTGGGCTGCAGCCTTGTGGTGGTGGGTTGTTTTTTTAACGGCCAAGAGCCTCGCACCAATTATAGGTTTCTACTATGAATGGATTTTTGATTTCTCACTGAAGAATGATCTGCTGCTTGTCTTGAGTCTTGTCTCTGAGCTGGCCCTCTTTTGACGAGGCAGCTGTTAATTGCCATTATTGGCACTGCAGCCATTGGATTCACTTCCTTCCCTTCCCACCGGAATGTTCTTGTTACTACTGGAAGCTCTGAGCCTGGACAGGTGAATTCTGATGAGCACCGTCCAGTGACAATACTTAAAATAAATCATAGAATCATAGAATTGTCTAGGTTGGAAGGGACCTTTCAGATCATCTAGTCCAACCATCAACCTAACACTGACAAGAAAACATCGCTAAACCATATCTCTAAGCACTACGTCTACCTGTCTTCTAAATACCTCCAGGGATGGTGCCTCAACCACTTCAATCCCAATTGTCCAGGGGTATTTCCAATCTATTTTTCCACAATCAGAGAAAAAAGTCTCATTTGAGAAAGGATTCTGTACAGAACACACAGTCTCATATGGATGCAGACCTGTTCAGTAGAACAAAACATGGTTGTGTAGTCCTTTTGGGTGGTACCTCTCCAGTAGCTGGTGGCAGAGGGTCCTGAGGTGTGTTGGGTGCCCGGGGCTTCGGCAGAGCCAGGGTCACGGCCGCAGCGTTAGAGGGGGAGATACATGTCGGGGGGAGAGGAGTGGGAGAAAGGTTTCTCATTGTACACGGGATTGTAAGTCTCCTGATCTCCATCTGTTTTAGGAAATCGTATCTCATAATCCTGTTAAATGAATGGAGTTTTGTTTTAAACAACAGGCTGTTCAATCTCCTGAGTCTGATTGGGGGGGGAAAAAACAATCCAAGAGAGTAACACCTTCTGACACAAATCTTAGGTTTAAATTCAGTTGATATATTTCAACTTGCAATATTTACATCCCTGTGCTATTGTTTACGTCCAGTTGCACCCCAGCTTCCCTGATGTCTTAATTCCTGATGGGTTAATCATGTTCTTTACATTCTCTGTTGCCTTCAGAGGCACTGCATTATATCATCAGCATCACCATCATTGTCAGCTGCTTCAGCATTTTGGCCTAGAATGTCCCACTTCCAACACATCTCACTTTATTTCAACTCCTTTGATTTTCTCGTTTCTCTTCCTGTGAAACTCTGAAGTTTCCAAGATGAGCTTTCCCCCCGTTCTTTTCAAGAAAACTGTTGTCTGAAGGAAACAGGAGACTTTTCTAAGGTCATTAGGCCTAGATAATTAGAGAGTCTGTCTTGGGGAATTTCTGCACATGTGCAGTCATCAAATTAAAAAGCCGTATTGCAATTAAGAGGCAGATGGGTTTTCATGGTTTCTAACTGTAAATATCCTCATGTGGCCTCAAAATCTCCAGGTATGTAGGGCATGGTGCTGAGGTTGCTGTGGAGCAGAAAGTGCTTCAGTGTCTTCCTGGGGCAACCTTGGAGAAAGTTTCCAGCGTGTCCTCAGTCCCCAGGACCTCTTGGCCCCTTCTGCTGGGGGAAAGTATTGTCCAGGCGTCGGTCAGAGCAGGTCTCTGCAAGACAAACTGGTGGGAGCTGCAGCAACACGTTGAACTTCTGCCGAAGACAAGGATTTGTTTGGTTTACTCAGGGTTGTTATAACAGAATACCTTCCCCTCTGCCATAAAAGCTTGTTTTAGTAGTTGGTGGAAACATCTACAAGTCTTGAAGCGCAGGAGCAGCTTCAGGAGCTTCAGGAGCGTTGCTGAAGGCTGGGGTTTGGCTGGATGGACATCACACACGTGTTCTCTGCCTGGAGGAAACCCAGTAGCTCCCACTGCTGAAGGTGTTCCATGGCTCCCAGGTGCTTTTTGCTGAACATGAAGCAGTGGCCACATGGCATCTGTAGGCCTGAGGGTTCTCCCTCTTTGGGGGTGCCCCGTCTGGCTTGTTTTCCATGAAATCTCTGTTCTGAGCAGAAGCAGAACAGTCTGTGGAGGAGCAGCGTTGTCTCTCGTTGGAGCTGCTGGTTTGTGGGGACAACCGGTATCACCTGCGCTTAAAAACCTCCACTGCTGCTGAGGAAAGGGCAGGAGAGCTGTTTGTCCCAGATATTTTTGAATGCCCCATTTCAGCGGAAACTTGTTGTTTTGGTGTTTGAAAAGCCCTCCAAACGTCCCCTGTGGCTTTGAAATGATGCCACATTTCGGAGGTTTGGATTTCTGCCTCCAGTTATTTTTGAAAAGAACAGGAACCTAAAAATAACCATGTGTACTTTTCCAGGCAGAAATTACTGGGTTTTTTTCTTTTTTTTTTTTTTTTTTTTTGCGAGCCAAACGTTTGCAGGGAGGCTGCTGGAATGAGACCTTCTGCCTGTGAATTTATGGCTTTGGGGAGCTGGTCAAAGGGAGCGTTAGCAGAGAGCTCCCGGGCTGGCGCGGGGGCGAGGATGAGGACGGAGCCCTCCTCCTCCCCGCAGGGGCCTGACCTTCACAAACTGTTGCTCTGCTACGTGATGAATTCACACTCACTGGATTCCACCTCTGGCGCTTCCCCCGGGCAGTGACCTGCTGGTTTTCTTCCAGTTACAAGGACTGGATGCCGTTGAGCTTTATTTCTGCAGTCTCTACGGAGTGAATTTATTGGTTTAAAAAAATAAAAACCCTGACTAAAAACCTGTTTTGGCTTCTAAATTTAGAAACAATGCAGGCTGGCAGCTCTCTGAAGCGGATTTCACCGAGCTAATTATCCTTTTAGATAAAGCACGTCTCCTGCATTGTCTAATCAGATGAAAATATCTGCATTACAGATGGTCCCTTCCATTCATTATTCACTAAGGAGATTAAGTTTCGCAGAGAGAGGAGGAACACGATGGGGGTGGGGACACTGGTGGGAAGAGATTGAGTCCCTGGAGCTGTCACTGCCGCTCTGCATGTGCCACCTTCTCCCTGCGTGACCATGATGGACCATGTTCTACTGGTTTAGCTCCTGCAGCCCTTGGCCAGGAGTTAATTAGGTGGAGTTTCCTTACCAGTTCTTGTTTCGCTCTCAAAATGATTGGAAACCACAGAATTGACTGGGATTTGGGGGGGGACTTTGTCACTGATGGGGAAGACCCTACTTTTCTCCTTTTTGGCCATTGTTTATTGACTGCTGCTCCACAGGTGAAGATAACTGGTGGTGAGGAGTAGTCACTCAGATAGGTTTGTACTCTGTTCTGAATTTAGCACAACACTGATCCCGGAATCACTGTCTTGCTTCCAGAGGGAAAAAAAACCACCCAATTTTCTCCCAACCACAGCTGACCATCTGGTTATTTCTGCGCCCCAGTATTTTTCTTGGTGAGATTTTTCCCTCAAGTATTGGCTAAGTCTGAGCTCGGGTAGCATTACAGGACAAAAATAGACGGCTTTAAACAGGGCTGTGGTTCAGCTGAATTATGACACGGGTATATCTTGCAAAAGTAAACGGTGAGGGGAAAGTGTTCAGCCTCCATGTGTTATATCGGATTAAAGCACTGGGATTTTGGTTATAACTTCCCTCATCACACAAGCGAGACCTGTGTAGTGTAACTGGATCCAAATCAAGTCCAACAGCCACTTGGGGTTGGATTTCCAGACCTTTATATGAAGCTTAGTATTTCAAAATAGTTTCATGTTACGCCGGTTCTTTGTTCTCTTGGTGGACTAGGGCTTTGTAATCACGCTTCCTTATTTCTCAAATGTTTTTCTTTCTCCTGTATGTGTATGAAAACCTCATGTAGACATTAGAAACTAACTGGGGTGTGAAGGGCTGCAATATAGAAGCTGACTCACAAAACGTGTTGTAAAATAAGTACCGTTGCCTCTCATGTGGGTTTGCTTCTACTGTGTCTTGGTTACTCAACCATGAAACGATTTCCTACAAGAACAGATAAGGCTTTGAGACAAAATTCTCTGTTCAAAATAATCTTGAGATGGTCTCCATTCACAAGTAGGGCATCTAGAGACCCAGAAAGTGTCTCTCACCTCATATACTGAACCATTCTCACTGCTCTTTAGAAGTGTTCTGGTGTTGCATTGAGATTCTGCTTTAGATTTTGAAAATACTTGGTAGTACCTTGATAGGTTGGATCTCTCTGAACTTAGTCTCCAACATCTGTGTTGTTTTTACTGCGGTGGGGATGAATACAGGGAGTAATTCTCTTTTCAAATCTCCTCTCTGCCCAGCTCTTTGGTGGAACAGGTAATAACTTCACTAACTTACTCTAACCTGCTGTTTGCAGCGTGTTTCACTTCCAACTTCACAAAGTTCTTGATCTCTTGTCCGAGAACCCTCAATGTTCACTTCTCCCAGACCTTTTCCTCCTTCCCTCCCAGGAAGCAGACCCGTTCTTGCTGGCCATCATGGGTTTCTCCTTCGCTGTGGCTTGGGCAGGTGGCCCCCTGTTTGCTGTCCCTGCCGTCGGGCTGCTTGGCAGGAAGGAGAAGGTGATGGTGGGAGACGTCGGGCTCCAGTCCTTCTCTAGGATGGGGATCCTGGCTCAGTGAGCAAGGGGTGGGAGTCGCTCGAGCGTGTCCCCGTTGCAGACATGTCTCTTGGAGCTGTCACTGAAGGAGAACAGGCTCTGGCAGGTGAAACACTCACATCTCTCCGTGCAAGGAGTATACACAGAAAGAGGATGCGAAGCAGTCACTGTCGCTCCTTTGATGTTCCTGAGGTTCTGATACAAGCCATCATCTTACTTGCCCCTTCAAAGTGTGTCACCATCATCAATTACATCCTTGCATATTATTTTTCCTCTCCTCCTCTTATCTTCCTCCCTCCGACCCTCCTCCTGCCTCACTTGTGGCACAGCAGAATAGCACGGCCTGGAGATTCCGCTCTCATTTCCAAATGTTAATCTGTGTTAATCTGTGGAAAAGCCACGTAGTTGTGGATGTCAACCTGGGACTTGATGTGATTTCATCAGAAAGGTACTAGATAAGTCACTGAAGGCATAACTATAAATATTTTCAAATAAGGCCTTTGTGTTACTCGATTTCCAACTTCGAAGGGTTAGAAGCATTCAAGGTTTATATTTAGTACTGCAGAAAAATCAGGTGCTTGTCTGCCCGATGCACCACGAGCCTGGATTTCGAGGCAGTGTTTCCTGCACACACTGTGCCCAGTGCCCACTGTAGGGGCTGGATGGACCTGGGGGGTCAGTGGGAACAGGAGGGGGCATTTGGGGGCTGTTTGTGGTCCGGGGGCCATAAGGCATTGCCCCACGGAGCATGGTCTTCCTTGGGCATATTCCTGGGGACCTTGGGGACCTGAGGGATGGGCAGAGCCAGCGGCCGAGCTCTGGGGGTTTCATCTCCTCAGTATTTCCTAAAAGTCCATGTGCCCTTATTTATCGTAGAATCACTGGGTTGGTAGAGCACCTTTGGCCTTCTCCAAAGGAAAAGGGATACATAGCGGAGGGGAAAAACGTTAACCCTTGTGTGTGTGTGTCATTTTTGTGTGTTCTTTGTCTTTTTTTTAAGCTGGAAAGAGGTGACTTCCTCTCGGAAGAATGGCGAGAGAGAATTGCAAACACAAGGTACAGTACAGCCATTGAATGGTGCTTTATGAACTGAATATTTGGGAGTTTGTATAATGGAAATTGGGAGCCTGGCCAGCTTTTTATATAGAATTTCCACAGCAAATACCAAAAGCCTATCTGCCAACTCATATACTGGCCTCTTTAGATCCTGTTTTCTGACTTGAAGAATGGCTTTAAATGCACGTCCCGTGATATTACATACAAGGGTGTATCCAAGATAAATTCTGGTTATACAAAGAAATATAAACCTCTGTTTTGCATATCCTTGTAGTTCGTGTCAGTGATTCTAGCAAAAACTAGTTATCTTGGCTATTGGTGCATACAGCTAAGCTCATTTTCCATTTAAACAAGAAGTAAAAGACCCAAGTGAATCTGTTCCAACTTAAATTGGGAATTCATTTAAGCTGATTGTCTTAAAGATTTATTTCTGTGAAGGTCTGTACAGAGGGTTACACTCAAAAAGGGAGTAAATTTGTTAAAAGCAATAAAATACTCCTCTGTATATTTAAAGGCTTTGCATTCTTTCAGCCTTATGGAGAGAAAATAAAGTCTTTATTTTTGTATGACCCTCTGGGCCACCCTGTTACGTGTGGGAATGGGAGCCAGTTGTCAAAGAGGGCCCTCTGAAAGTCTTCAGCCTTGTGGCAACGTATGGATGGCTTCCAAGACCCTGGTTTAAGAGTTCTTCTTCATCAGGGAGGCATCTGCCCGGCTGCTGATTTTTGTGTTATTATACACCTCGGTTAAACTTCTGGAGGTGCCTTTTAATTTATGGGCAGCCTCGTCCCAGCCTTGCAGCCTCGTGGGGTTTTGCTTCGTTTGCTCTTCCAAGTGCACACTCTGCAACTTTCCCTGGAACAAATGTAATTTTTTTTTTTTTTTTAAATTATCTATAGCTGAAGTACATCTGACTTATGCAGAAACGCTGGGAGAAGTTTATTTGCAGGGTGTGCAGGTAATTGCCTGCCTGCTGCTCCACAGCCACCTCCTTCTGATACGGATGTTCAAAAAGAAGTAGCTTTTTGCTCACGATTGTTGGGTGTTGGTTTTTGTTCTGAGCCTGCCAGTGGCATCTACTCTCTCTAACGAGACCTCTAACGAGACCGCAGCTTGGCTACTGAATTCCCAGTGGGGCCACCCAGTCTCAGCACCAAAGTGTCACCTTTCGTGTGAGTGGGGACCGGTGGCCAGGCTCAGGGGAGAGGATGCCTTTGTACCAGCACAGGCTTCTGCCTGGCTGAGGGCTCCTATCTCCGAGATGTGAGCAAGCTGTGGAGCACACAGAACTCCTGTTAATAACTCTGCATTATTCCTCTTAACACTACTTAGATAGTAGGAAGAACTTGTTTGGTGTGAGGGTGGGGAGAGCCTGGCCCAGGTTGGCCAGAGAAGCTGTGGCTGCCCCATCCCTGGAGGGGTTGAAGGGCAGGTTGGAGGGGGCTTGGAGCAACCTGGTGTGGTGGGAGGTGTCCCTGCCCAGGGCAGGGGGGTTGGAACTCGATGATCTTTAAGGTCCCTTCCAACTCTAACCAGTCTGTGATTGTATGATTACTCCTCTTAATACCTGTACTTGTGGCTGAGCAATACGTGCTGCAGAGAGGGCTGGAATCAAGGTGGACCGGGGGCTCCTGGGCCACACAAAATGCTCTGCCAGAATGAACACTAAAAAAAAAAAAAAAAATAATCTTTCTGGCAAGGTCTGTCTTTTTCCCTTCCTTTCCTGGATGTTTTTGAGTCCCGTTAATATGTTTGGCTCTTTTGCAAGGCCCTTTTTGGCACGTGGTAGGAAGGAGGAGGACGAATCCCCTGCTTGCCTGACTTGCCAGGCAGGGTTTCCCAAATTTCCAAGAGCAAGGCGTAGCATGAATAAATTTCTTTTTTTTTTTTTTTCCCTTGGTATATAAACATTTTTTTCATCCGTGGTTTTTAATAGCTTTGGCTGCTGCTCTCAAACTCAGTGTCCTTGCTGAACATGTTTAATGTGTGGAGGCACTAGGAAGGGAGTTTTCTTGCACAGGAATCAGTTGTTAGTGTTGAAACAACCTGTGGGGCTGGCAGGATCTCAGCTGCTCCTCAGGGATGCTGAGGACTCCTGTTGGAAGCTGGTAGGGAATGGGCACGAGCGACCATTAGGCCAGGCCCAGGCTTTTAAAAATAAAGGGCTATTTCTTTTTTGATCCATGATTTTTTTAATCTGTGTGGCTGCACCAGCCCTGGAGGGGTTCAAGGGCAGGATGGAGGGGGCTTGGAGCAACCTGGTGTGGTGGGAGGTGTCCCTGCCCAGGGCAGGGGGTGGCACTGGGTGGGCTTTGAGGTCCCTTCCCACCCAAACCAGTCTGTGATATGGTGACATATTCTGTTTCTTTCCCAAACATTTTTGTTGTTTGGGGTGATTCTACCCATCTGCAGGTTTCTTTGTTTCCATGTGACTGGGGTATTTTTGAGGAACAACTTCCCCGTTGGATTTCTGAACCCAGAAAGATGCAAACCCTCCCTTGTGGGCCGGGGTGAAGTGCTGGGCTTAGGACAGGGCAAAAACCTGCTGAGAGATGTCAGCTGCCTTTTTGAATTATGGGGGAACTTAGGAGAGAAAATCTATTTTGCTATTTTGCTGTATTATTTGAAGCACATGTGGAGAAGTAATGGGATGAGAGGTGTGTCTGTTGTGTCGGAGTATTTCTTTCCATGTGTGGATTAACCACTGGAAGCAGGTTGGTTTCCATCTCACCATGGCAGAGGGGTGAAAACATTTATGCACCTGGTTTTTATGTTGCAACTTAGGGTGCAGGACTCAGCCGTGTGCTGAGAGGATGGCAGAGCAGGATGCCCTTCCCATTTTTTATGTTTAATTACGTGGGCAGCCTCAGGGAACGTTCAGGTGAGGCGTTCTGTGTCTCTGCCCAAGGAGAGCATTTTGTATGATGGAAGTAGCTGAACCTCAGGGGCTGGAAAGGCTCTGAGTGACCGTGACGTGTGGTTACGGGGGGAAGTTGTGTGTCTTTATTTGGCTGCCGTTTGCCTGTCCCTGTTTATTAACCAGACCATTATTTTGCAGTGTTATTTTTGTGAATAATTTTGCCTTTGGTCCTGAGGTGGATCATCAACTGAAGGAGCGATTTGCAAACATGAAGGAAGGTAACAAATCAAACTTAAATACTTTTCCCATTGCTTTCCAGCCTTTTTCCATTAGTTTTCCAGCCAGTGCTAGTAAGGGCTTAGTTACAGCCAGCAGAAGCCCCGTTGGTTGGTGGGTTTCGTTCTGTGCCTTGTGGGGAAACATCTGCACCGCGATGGTGATTTCTTGGGCTTTTTACTTCCCTTCTTAATATCTACTCTGATCTGCCTGATTACTGATTATTACTGAAAGAGGGGAGATTGAGATGAGATCTCAGGGAGAACTTGTTTGGTGTGAGGGTGGTGAGAGCCTGGCCCAGGTTGGCCAGAGAAGCTGTGGCTGCCCCATCCCTGGAGGGGTTCAAGGGCAGGTTGGAGGGGGCTTGGAGCAACCTGGTGTGGTGGGAGGTGTCCCTGCCCAGGGCAGGGGGTGGCACTGGGGGGGCTTTGAGGTCCCTTCCCACCCAAACCAGTCTGTGATTGCTGGGAGGCAGCTCTGCTTGTGCAGGCTCTGCTGGGGTAGGAGAAACTCTTGGTCCTTTCGTACCTCTGATGCGAGCCAACAAAACGTGCACCAGCCAAGACTGCAGAGCTCCCTGGCTGCATAGGCAGGGCTTTTGTGTATCCAGTTTCTGTAATTGCATACTGAAGTCGGTTACTGGATTCTCCTATTTTAAATTGTCACATTCAGTACTGGGTATTGACTTGTAAGTATTAAAATAGGGACACTGTCACTGGGTGTCTTGTTTGCTTCTTGAGACGCTGCATTGCAGTCACTCGTGACCAGGGATGTCCAATAACCCCACTGGGGCCCTTACATTGCCCGAGGTGTCTTTTTTCTTCCCTCTTAACCGCTTGGTTTATTTGGTTATGGCAGAAATTAAAAAACCAAGTATTTCTGAAAAGAAAAATGTGTGGCACGAACAAAGCAGCTGTGGCTTCCCATAGCACAGCTTTGTGCTGAAGTAAATAATGTGACTTTTGGGCTCTGATGCAAACTGTAAAACCCCAAAACATAAGCTGTTTTCATTAACTGTAGTGGTTGATTTTTTTATTTTTTTTATTTTTTTAAAACTTAGAGGAGTGGCAGGATGGGGAAGGGCTCTTTCCAAACTGAAGAAGCCCAAGTTCTCTCCCAGAAGGTGCTCGGGCTCTGTCCCTTGGGCCGGGTGACCACAGAGAGCTGGGACACGGAGCTCGGCTCCCTTTTAAATGAAAGGGCTTTGGGGGCTTGTGTATAAAAGACACTAATCAGGGATGAGACAGTGGTGTTACTGCTTGAAATTTCTGTAGATCACCACTGAGAATTAATGGTCTCGTTTTTTGGAAGTGTTTTAAGATTTGTCATTTTAAAGTGATCCTTGAAGGCACTTGAGGTCCGTAGCTACCTACCTGGCAGCACTAAGAGATCGACCTTCTTGGATGCTGTCAGAATGAGCTTTAAGTAATATATATTTTTCTTTGTAATGATACACAAGTGGTAGTTTTATCAGGGCTGTTCTTTCGGGCTCTGTTCTGGGTTATATTTAAGAAGTAGTCATTTCTAGAAGGAATAATGGGAACTGACTTTGCTTTTTTTCTTTCTTTTTCTTTTTCTAGGTGGGAGAATTGTGTCCTCAAAACCTTTTGCACCTCTAAATTTCCGAATTAACAGTCGAAACTTGAGTGGTATGATTACCCTTTTTATTCTTCATTACAATTACACCGTGTTCATTATCTGAACATGTCTGTAGTGGGGTTTTGTTGCTCTTTAAAGAGTTGTTTAAGTAGAAAAATGCTTTTATATTATTACAGTACACATGCCAAAGTGAGATGTATTTAAAATGACACAAACAAACAAACTCCACCCAACACTGGAACAAACGGACACTCTTTTTATGGGGTTCATCATGTCTATAAAGTTGATGTTTCTCTGGCTGGGCGTCTTTTCTAGTTGAAGAGAAATAAGGTGTTTCAAGGCCATGATTCACTTCTGCAAGTACAAAAAGCTGCAGTGATTAACTGTGGGCAGATCTCTTACACCATAGCTGTCTACATTTGGGCAGGGAAATCATGTAGTCCTCATCTGTAGGACTCAGAAGTTGAAATAATCATCTTTGCCTTGTCTTCTGTGCTGGAAATTGCTCGAACAGACCTATCCCACAAAGGCCCAGTTGCTGTGTCTGTTTTATTGCCAACAAAAGTTTTGTGTTTTTCTTCTCTTCTCGACATGGACTTGAGATTTGCCAATGTTGTCCTTTGCAAGTGTGGGAACGGCGGTTTAATGAGGCTTGGAGATTACTAACACCCTGCCTTGTTGGTTTTGCTTCTGACCTCTTTTTCTATTTTTTTTATTGTTGAAATTTTTCAAACAAAAGAATGATCCGAGCTGGGGTTTATGCATATTTACTGTGTCCAGTGCAAAACATGCCCTAAATTTCAAAACTGCCTTAGTCCCCTCCTTCTGCAAACATGGGCAAGTCCCACGCCGAGTTACAGATCTCAAGCTGTGCTCGCCGTTTTTGGCCTGATGCTCATGGTAAAATGCTTTTCAAGAATAGTAATTTGAAGACTGTCATTAAGGCATTTCACTGAAGTAGTTCCATTGTGAGCTTTTTTTACTGAGCTTGAGTTGTTGTGAAAGTCCTGTGCATCAGACACCCAAAACTGCCCTTTCCCTTCCTCTTTGATATTTTTTTCTGTGGCATCTGAGTCTTTGGAACCTTATTAACTGTCAGGTCCTGGTTCACCGGCCCTTTGTAGATATTTACTTGAAAATAAAAGGCAAAAAGGGGAGAATGGTACTTGTGGAAATCCTCAGAGCTCCGAAGGGCTGGGATCAGTTTGTGAACCAGACAAAGAGCCCCTGAGTGAAGCCCTGTAGGACCAGGTGAAACAGAAGAAGGCACTTCTAAAGTTTCAATTAGGAGCCCTGCCTATGTAAATAAATTTTTTTGGCCTCTCAAACCTTTTCTTTCCTGGCTTCTGACCATTTCGTTATCTCTCTTTGCTAGGTTTGGGAGACTGCAGTTATTAAAAAAATGGAGGGGAGGCAAAGGGGCCACTGTGTACTAGATTTTTCACTTAATAAAAGCCCTGATTCTGCTTATCCTTGAGCCAGGTCTTTATCCCATTTCAGCTTTCACCCCAGAGTGTACTCACAGGGAGTAGTTTTCTACAACGCTGAAGCTTTATATAGCAACTGTTATTTAATGCTTAATGGGAATATTGATTTTAAAAATATATAGAGGTCGCTAATTAGGATTTGGGGAAATGAGATCACGTAGCATAAGAACAGGTAAGAGCTTCTGCTAACAGGAAGCTCTTCCAGGGATTCAGATAAAAGATGCAGAATAGAAATTACCTTTGTGTGTTACAGACAGGGAGGGACAATTGTGGGAATGGATTTTAGGTCTTAATCCCATTCTTTGGCCATACTGTCCTCGGGAAATACCGGTATCAAATGGAGATGCTGGGGGTGTACTGGGCCCAGGGCTTGTTCCACTCTCAATGGCCTGTTCTAAGGGCCCTCTGGGGACACGTCCCCCTCTGAGAGCTCGTGGCATCAAATGTGGCTGAGAGCCATCACGTGCAGAGATTTCTGTGCCTTCTGCTGCTGCCCTGCGAGGTTTTTCATAATTCTTTTATTCAGCGGGGTCTTTTTGTGCCTGAGTACGATCTGAGTCCCATGGCTTGCCTGTCTGTCTAATGTTTTGATCTAAGGTATGAACAGTTAAATAATTTAAAAACTCTCATGGAAAAGATAAAGCTTTAAAAAATGGGCAACCTTTTCTTTCTCTTTTTTTTTTTTTTTTCTTCTCAATACCATTTTTGTCCTTAGTAGTTCCATCTGGAAAAAGAAATGGAAATGTGGAAAGAGTTGAGACAAACCAAAACAAGTATTAAAATGTGGTTAAAATAGTGGTTGAAGTTGCTGATTCCTAAGCTTTGCTTTTTTGACTCTTCTGGGTAATTTTGTATTTAATTAGAAGTGTGCCATAATTCCTTCTGCCGTCCTGCGCCTCGCTCAGCATTCAGTGGTTATGGCAATGCTCAGACACATCCCATACCTATTAATTCTAGGGAACAAAACAAATACGGGCAAGAAAGCAAATACAAAACATGTTTGTCCCCAGTCCAAATATAGTGCAGTTCCAGTTTACATGGGTTGGCCCTAATGACGTTCTGTAACTGGTTCTACTAATTAAATCCTGGCTGTTACTACAGATGTGTTCTCGCTGGGCTTCTCATAAACATTGTCTCTGAGACACAGGAAAGTTGTGTTTGTTAAATGCACTAGCACTTAATTTCACTCTGGAACGACTGTCTGACGAGAGAAAAGGTAGATCTTCCAAATTTCTTAAGTTTTCTGTAGGGTTCATGTAGCAAAAGAATCAGAAATTGCTTTTTAAACTCACTGCAGGGTTTTTTTCCTAGGTCGTTGCTGTCTGAATATCACATGTATCTGTGTGGTTTGAATAAACCTGTCCTGTTGCAGGGCTGGTTTCAGCTGAGTAGAAGTGAGTGGTTCCTAAACTGACTTTTTCCCCTTAGACATTGGCACTATAATGAGAGTTGTGGAGCTGTCACCACTGAAAGGGTCTGTGTCATGGACCGGGAAACCAGTTTCTTACTACCTGCATACTATTGACCGCACCATAGTGAGTATAAACCTCTGGCTGCTTCACCTGCCCTGGAATCCATGCTCCTCCTTCTTGGGAATGGCTTTCACATTCATTTGCATACCTAATTAGAAGGGATGCCTTCTCCCCTGACCTGTTCCATCCCACTGAACACGCAGAGGGTCCTGCGTGGCATCACCTCTGGCTGCTTCAGCGCATCTCATGCTAACGGGGTAATTAGGGACAGCGCTAAGGTAGTCTGCTAATTAGTTTAAGGTGTATAGATTTACCAATATAATTCCTTCTTGTGCTCCAGAATATTCAACTGTACAGAATGGTGGTCTCGTGCTCCAGCTTCCCCACTGAGTAGAGACCCTGTGGGTCTTTAATTCTTCAGTTTGCTTTGTGGTGCACAAACCTTTTCACTCTGTCCTACTCCAGCAGTAAATCTCAGTTTTAGTTGAACTTCAGTTGCTGTAGAACCAGCCAAAGCTCCGTAACAATGCTGGGGCATTCACTGTTGGGGTTTTTCAGTTAAAGAAAACAGCAACAACCCTGTAGAAATGTAAACATTTGCGGAGAAACAGTTTATTCCCACACTGAGGTTTTTTGCAGTATCATAGCAAGACTATTTTTCTAAGTCTGCTTTTGTTAAAGAATATGCTAGAGCGCAGATAAATGTTGTAGTGGAGTACAGGAGTGAAGCAGCTTCATTGAAAATAACCTTCTGCTGAGCAGAGATAGATGACACAAAAAGCTTTAAAACAAGGAGAGGCCGTGGTGAGATGATAAAACCTTGTTGAGGCTTGGATTATGTCCGGCCACACATCGTGTCTGTGCTGCTAAAAAGAATAAATGCAATTGGCTTCTTGATGTAGCTTATCAGAAGAAAACCAGTCAGAATTGCTGCAGTTCTGCATTTGTCTTCAGCTAATAGTTTGTTCTTATGTATTCATCCGTCGTGACTTTGCAAATGACTATCTTATCTTCTATTTTCAGCTTGAAAACTATTTTTCTAGTCTCAAAAATCCAAAACTCAGGGTAAGTTTTCAGTTATTTTCTGTAGAAAACTCAAAGTAATGGAGTAGCCACTGCAAGGAGTTTAGTTACTTGTTAAAGATGTAGAGAATTGATAGAAAATCGAATTTTCTTGATGAGCAAGGAAGGTGGGTGTGGAGCTAATTGAAGTGAAGCGTCACATGCCATGGAGAACTAACACAGTTGTGTTCAAGGGCTTTCAAATAGAGAATTAATGGGGCAGCCACAAGGTGGTTTTGGTCTGTAAAGATCCATTAGTTCATTAAAGAACTGAAGTTAAAGGAGGAAATGATGGTTTGGATGTGTCCCGGTGTTCAGCTGTGCGGAAATGAAGCTGAGGAGATCTCTGGGATGTTCCTTTTGGGACGTGCTATTTGAGATACGAAATGTGTTGTCACTTGCTGCAGTCTGTGCTATCACATGTGGAATTAAAATGCCGGAGGATTTCTGAGCCTGTGCTGGGCTGGATTAATCTGAAACAACCGATGGGGCTGGTATTCCCAGTAAAAGAATTAAGAGAGGCCACTTAATTTAAATTTCAGGTGAATGTTACACTTCAGAGTGACTTGCTCAGTAAGTGTTGAAAACAGATTAATGGTGGCTTTGAGACTGAATTTCAGACTGCTGAATTCAAATTTAGGAGAAAAAAAGATTTCTTGGAGTCAAAATCAAAAATGCAGAGTGGCATCCCTGTGCTTTGGAGCTTCCCTGCTGGTGCTGGTGGGGTATTAAAGCTGCCATTTCTGGTTGATGACGTGCTTAAACTGAAGAGGTGTTGGAATTGCCAGAATTCTTATGCAAATTAAACCTCACCTAGAAGGTACAAGAAAGACTTTGAGTGAGCTTTTTGCAATTTCCTGTCCTTACTGCCTAGTAGAAAATCAACTTTAAAAGTTGCTGCTTTTGGCTTTTTTTAGTCTCTACTGAACTGACTAAAATTGAATTAGACGATGATAAATGGCTTTCAAGTCATGTAAGATTTTTAAAGCGATGTAGCAACACCTGAAATGTTTGGGATATAGGGGTAGCTATTGAAATATTAATATTTCATAAAAAAACCAAAACCACAAATTGTAACACCAGCGTGTGATCTGGGGGGTAGGATTGGGAGGGGCAGAATAAGGGAAGAGGTTGGGGCTTAATCTCCTTTGCCCCATGGCTCCCTGTTTGGAACCCATTAGTGTAGGGCAAAAGTGGGGCTTACATTTATCTTCTTTGTCCCCCTGAGTGTTGCCTGAGGCAGGGTTTTTTCCCTTGCTGGTAGCAAAAGGTGTTTTTTTTAATTAGGTTTTGTATGATGAGCGTACACACCCAGCTCTTCTTGAGGGCTAAGCTGGGAAACACAGTGATCTGTATTAAGAAGTGATAAAAATGTGAGCAAATAATTAAGTTTTGTAACCCATTTATCCAGGAGGAACAAGAGGCAGCTAGACGTCGTCAACAAAGAGAAAACAAGAGCAACACAACTACTCCAACGAAAGTTCAAGAAAACAAGGTGAACGTCCTGCATTTTCACAGAGTGAATGTGTTTTCTCTGGAGCCCTGGACGAGCTCAGAGCCTGTGGCAGGAAAAGCCCGATTCCGTGGGGAGCCTCTGTGTGGGTTCTGAACACCCAAACTGGTGTAACTGGTGCCGTAGACAAAAATCTGATGGAGTGACTTAAAAGCTGTGCTTGGGAACTGCATCACTCATTCTGGAAAAAAGGTTTCGGAGGGTGACTCGAGCAGTTGGTTGTCCACCCTGGCGTACATTCAGCACCAGCTTTCCCCAGTGGGGTTCAGAGCGTGCTGAGTCTCTTCTGCAAAGACTCATTTCCTTTCTCATGCCGTTGCATAATGCTCTTAGCAATGAGTGACTGTTCCTGCACCAAAATATCAAGTATTGAATGTGCTTTGACTTTTTAATGACATGAAGAATATAGAGTGAATGATCGGCTTTTCTTAGACAACAGTTATAGATTTCCTTTTCTTTAATGAGTAAGTCCAGAAGATGAGCACAAGTCCTTGGGTGTTGGGGGCAACTCCTACATGAAGCAAGTCTGCTTCTCTAGCAATTTATTTAACTACAGTGCATCAGTTTCCTTTCATAATGTTATTAAACAAAGTTATTAATGCTTACTTAAAAGGAATGCTGCATAGATAGGTATAAATGAGTAATGAGCTTTTGGCTTTTAAAAATCTCTTAGGATTCTGGTGCTGAAGAAGAAAAGGCTGGGGCAAATTCTGTTAAAAAGCCATCTCCCTCCAAAGCACGGAAGAAGAAGCTGAGTAAAAAAGGAAGGAAAATGGCAGGCAGGAAACGAGGACGTCCCAAGAAAATGAACACTGCAAATACAGAGCGCAAGACCAAGAAGAACCAAACTGCACTAGAACTTCTGCACGCGCAAACTGTTTCACAGACATCGTCATCCTCTCCTCAGGGTGAGCTCAGGACTGGTGGTGGAAGAAGCCTTTCCCTGCCACAAGAGTGTAGATGAGTCTCTGAGGCTTTGAACGCTTGGAGTCATTCCTCCTTTATGGCTGGGTTTAGTGTGGGTTTGTGTCATGACTTCTCCCTTCCACCATATCACCCACCTTGAGATGGGGGATGTCTCAAGTGTGAGATGTGGTGGTGAGATGGTGATTGAATCTGTTGGTAGTTGGCCAGAAGCTGGAGCCAAGCTGTGGCCAATTGCTTATCCCTGTTGCGGGTCCAAGGATAATCTGTAGATGTCCTTCCAAGCAATTAGTTGCAGTGTGTTGATCTAGTTTGCATCTTGGGTTGTAAATGATGTGCTTTTTAATGGCAAAGTACTTGCCAGAAACACTGATTTCATAATCATAGAATCATAGAATCATTCAGGTTGGAAGAGACCCTTGGGATCATCGAGTCCAACCATGTCCCCTACTCTACAAAGTCCTCCCCTACACCATGTCCCTCAGCACTGCATCTAAACGGCCCTTAAACACAGCCAGGGATGGGGCCTCCCCCCCCTCCCTGGGCAGCCTGTTCCAATGCCCGACCTCTCTTTTGGTGAAAAAATCTGAAAGGTTATCTCTGTTTCCCTCTTCAGATGCGTACAAGTCACCTCATAGTCCATATTACCAACTACCTCCTAAAGTGCAACGGCATTCATCCAACCAGCTACTGGTGACACCCACCCCACCCGCACTACAGAAGCTGCTAGGTAAGGCTAATGTCACTGACTTTGTCATGGCAACCTCCATTCTGAGGTTTCTGAACATACAGTAAATCAAATTTCCACTCTGGGAAGCTGTATATTGAACAGGAGAAGGGGGACAGCTTCTCCCCCATCTTCCCCCACTCCACTTGGCGTCACCAGGAGGGCTCTTCTCTTGCTGCTGAGGTTGATGTCTTGGTCTGCATTTGGTTTTTGACATTGTTTCAGCTCTCGTCTGGCACAAAAGGAAATAAGTTGGGGTTTAGCAGGGATCCAAAATAACTTTAAATGTCAGAAATAACTTTATTTTAAATGAAACCATTCTCTCATTCTTAAATGATAGAGTATTGAAGAACACCGCTTCATTTTCTCTGCAAAACTTAGGGTAAAGTAAATGAGATGTTGCCTGAGTTTTTGAGGTCACAGAGGTGGTGTGGTTGGAAAATGTGCTCCACGTACAAGAGGTGATTTAAGGAAAAAACCTGGAGGGTGGTTTTTTGGGTCTTCTCGTTCCTCCCCCTCCAACTGTTTCTGTCCTTTGGCACTGGGCATGAGCCAAATGAAGATCACCTGGGGATGTGAAGTAATGTTCCTGTCTATGTGGACACCAAGGGCACCTGTGATGGCCTGAACTCCTGCTCTCTTGCTGTGGTGACTGATTTCTTACTCTAGAGAAAGAGAGAGGAGGTTGGAGGAGCACAGCAAGCCCTGTCTCCTGGCTCTGGGAGAATGAGTGCTCTGAGCTCGGGGCTGCCTTTCGGCTGTTACAGCTCATCTCTCCTATTATTTCTACTCACGTTGCACTAAAAGCTGTTCAGCTCCTCTTTCATCATGCAAACACACCATTAGCACCCATCATCCTCCTCTGCGGTTTGAAGGCGTTGTCATGGCTTCCATTGGGGTGTCTATTAGAGGCAGCTAATGGATCCAAGAGTTCCGCTTGCATCAGAAGATGGATTTTCAGTGGGCTCTAAATTGGGCTTTAATGGTTTGGTCTGACCTACAGTCTAAACACAAAACAAGAGAGAGCAAAGGGGGAGAGGAGTCAAGGGAGCAAAAGGGGTAAACAGGAGAATTGCACATCCTGTCACTTGAAATGTGTCATCTCCTTGGTTATTTTGCAGACTCTTTTAAGATCCAGTACATGCAGTTCATGGCTTACATGAAAACTCCTCAGTACAAAGCGAGTCTGCAACAGTTACTGGAGCAGGAAAAGGTAGGTCTCGTTTTTAACACTTCTGAAACAAATTGTCCAGATAGCAGATACTTTGGGTGTGGGGGGAAAGTGCTGGAGATGGGAGTCGTGTGCCCTTCCCACCAGCGCTGCACCAGGCCCATGGTGAAGACTCCACCAGAGCGATGCTTGGGCTGAGTGACTGTCCCTGGGGATTTTATTGTCAACTTGGTCAGTCTTTGTGTGCTTAAATTTCCCATCTGCAAACTGGGAGAGATGCACCTTCCCCCTGGTCCCCCTCCAGTTTTAATTTGGTATTTCTGTGTTTTTGCTCTGTTTTGGCATGAATGTGCACTCCTGTGCAGGACGCAGTGTCTGGAACCCTGTCGTTTTCTCCCATTTGGGATTGGCAGCTGCTTTTCTTCTCTGAATGTCTCGTGGGTGACAGGAGCAGAGGTGATAGACAACCCCTCCAGTGGCATCATTGCCCAAACATGTTCCTGTTCTCCCTGCAAGCTGCTGGTCAAACTGCTATTAGATAATTCAGTTGTGCTTAGTGTGGCTAAAGATTTTAGCAACTTTGAATAGCTATCTTGAAAAACACACAGATAATAATTCCTCAGAAATGAATTTTCTGATTTTTAACTCCTTTTCCCACTGTAGGAAAGTCTAAATGAATTGAGTTCTCTGGCACCAGGATTCCTCGTTAAACTTTTAACAAATTGAAGTATGGGATTAAAAAAACCCAAACTGTCATTACTGACTTAAGGGACTTAATGAAGCATCCTTAGTATTGATAATTTTAATGTGTTAAGGTTACACTGGTGGACAAAGTGTGAATTTACCAAATTATGGGTTGAAATACATGGAAAGATTAAGAAATCCCTGCAGCTGTGGAGAGAGGGGTTTCTCTCTGCTATGGAGCCATCTCCCCAGCAGAGGGAGGAGATTTACTGGCTAAACACCTTTTCTTCTTGTGTTGCTTTACCTCAATTAATGAATAATTTAATTCCTTTAAAAATTAGTCCTGATGAGAGAGACTGGGCTTGCTACTTCTATGGAAGAAGCTTTCCCCATAGAGTCCAACAATAATCCAATCCAACTTCTGGCCAAGTCCAGCTTTTGGTAGCCCTCGTGGAAGCTTTCCTTTGCTGTAGCCTTTGTGAAAGTGTCAGCACGAAGCTGTAGCCTCGTTTACTGGGAGTTTCCATAATGGGAACTCCTTTTCCCCAGGAGAGAAGCTACTTCAATATTAAGAATTGGTTCGTGCTGATGTGCTGTTCGTGCAAACCTTTTTTCTCTGCTTGTTTCCATTTGTTTTCACAGTCAAACAGCACTTTGGCTTTTCAACGTTTTTCCTTAAGCAGCATGTTTTTCTGCTTGTTCTGGACTTGTCTGGAAAGTCAGCATAAAGTTAATTTATCTCCCATGCCTAGAAAATGGCATGAGAAATGATAGCGTGCAAGTATTGCGCTGAGCGCTGAAAGGATAAATTGAGAGAGTGGAAAAATAATCACTTCATGTTGGTGTCTGACAGCTGTTCTGTACTTTCAGACATTAAAATCAGGAATTCAGTATGAAAATAGCTTTTTAATGGAGTGTTACACTGAGAGCCTGGCAAGTTAAACTTCACAGAAGCAGAACTTTGCCGGATGAGGTGCTGTTGTATATTCTATTTAATAACTCCCTCTTACGTGAAGGTGTTTCAAGTACAAGAAAAACATTTCTGTAATATGATTTTAAAATAACCAAGGTGCAGTGGGCTGCCAGTTCACTGGATTGCCCTTAGATGGAGCTGTCAGCTCCTGCAGGGCTGGTGCTGGCTGAGAGGAGGGAGTGATGCTGGGACCACGCAGGAGTCTCTCAGCATCACCGACAGCAACCCTGGAGCCAAGAGTTTGCCCAGGTCCTTGGCATGAGAGCCCCAAAAATCTGTGTGCCAGGGCCTGTGTTTGCTCTCACGCTGCTGCCTCGCTTCACAGATGGGTTGCTTGGAAGATCAAGATGCTTTTTCCCCTTGTCCTCTGCTTTTTTGGAGCGATGACTCAGTTCCTGCACGATTCCTGTTTGGCCTCAGCAGCAAAAGTTGGAGAAAAGCGTCATCTCCAGAGCCTGCTCCCCTTGCTGTGCTCATCCTTCAACTGGGAACTGAATAAATGAGATTTTTTTTAGCCAGTCCTGCCCTTGCCTTTGCTGCTCACATAGTGCACGACCGTGCAATGAGTGAGCAAGTATCTCGTTAAGGGACCTTATGGGCAGGAAATATTCTGCGAGCGGAGGGGTCGGGTGGCCACTGAAGTAATTTTGGCAATAGAAGTACAAGTGGTTTGGTTTATTTATGACTTTCTTCCTACCTCCCCCACAGTGTATTTTCATTTACTGCGTGTCTTCCATGAGCATTGTGTAGGAAAGCTCTGAATTGGGACTCTGGAGATTTAGAGTCTGTTCCCAGTTTAGTAACAGATTTCATACAGATAATCTTTTCCAGTTCCATTTCTGCTCCGTAGGATGTGATTATTACTACTTTGCAGTGTGCTAGGAGGATAAAACCCAATTCTTAAGACTACCCTGATTATATTTTACCATATAGTATAAAAAATTACTTAAAAGCTCTTTTCAGCTTAATTAACTTCAAGTGTTGAACACTAACAAATACAGGCCCACAGCAGTCTGAGACAGAGCTGGGTTAGTTCATACATGTCCCCTCCCAGCTGGGATTTACTCCCAACTTGTGATTCCAACTGGGTGTAAGCATCTTACTGGGATGGACCGTGCTGCAGCTGGTGCTAAAAGTGTCTTTTCTCACTCTTCCCTCTTCCAGGAAAAGAATGCTCAGCTACTGGGGACAGCACAGCAGTTATTCACCCACTGCCAGGCACAGAAAGAGGAAATCAAACGTCTTTTTCAGCAGAAACTTGATGAGGTAGCCCTGATGGGGTGGAAGTGGGTGCTCATTAGTCATCTGCACGCGAACGGTTTTGATAAAAATGAGTAAGACCAGAGCAGCTTCAGGTCTTCAGCCTCTGTTTTGCAGCAGATCATGCTGAATAATGTGGAATCTGTATCACTCTTTAGTTAGGCTTTGTAATTTCTTGTTGAAATGGTTGCGTGCCACTCTGGGTCCAGGGGAGGGGAGGGACGGACCCAGTGGTGGTTCAGTGGAGGAAGCATCCCCTGCTGGTTGGCTGGGCTCTGTGTTGCTGGTGCAAGTTGGGAAGCACAGAATGAAACACAGTGGCTCTCTATAAAAATAGTGTTCTTTTGGCTGGCAGGAAACTAAACGCCAGTTTTAAAGCTGAATTGCTGGAAAGGCAGCTCCAAGTGAGGCACTTCTGTCCCTGTTATCCCCTAGCGATGACAGAGTGCCTGGGAGGGTGCTGGGGGGGACCCCTGTGAGCTGCATGAGTTCTGTGGATCTCCTCAATGTCATTTTGACTGTGACAGACATCTGGAATTAGGGGGTCAAGACCTCATGGAATGATCTCTTTCCTTTTCGCCCTTCTTCTTGTAGTTGGGAGTTAAAGCTCTGACGTACAACGACCTGATTCAGGCTCAGAAGGAAATCTCTGCTCACAATCAGCAACTGAAAGAACAGACAAAACAGCTGGAGAAGGACAACAGTGAACTCAGGAACCAGAGCTTACAGCTGGTGCGTACAGCCCTGGGGTCCAAGTAGGGGGTGACACTCCCATTTGTGTAGGAAGGACAGGTCACAAGCCAAGGGCAGTCCCTGTCCTCAAGGTATCTTAATGAAGAAAGAATTGTCCTGCTGCTGTAGCTCCTCTGTAATGGGCAAGAATGATGTTCAATATATTCATCAATGACCTGGATGAGGGGACAGAGTGTACCCTCAGCAAGTTTGCTGATGACACAAAGCTGGGAGGGCTGGCTGACACACCAGAAGCTGTGCCACCATCCAGCAAGACCTGGACAGGCTGGAGAGTTGGGCAGAGAGGAACCTGATGAAGTTCAACAAGGGCAAGTGTAGGGTGCTGCTCCTGGGGAGGAATAACCCCCTGCACCAGGACAGGTTGGGGGTGACCTGCTGGAGAGCAGCTCTGAGGAAGAAGACCTGGGAGTCCTGGTGGACAAGAGGATGACCATGAGCCAGCAATGGGCCCTTGTGGCCAAGAAGGCCAGTGGTCTCCTGGGGGGCATCAGGAAGAGTGTGGCCAGCAGGTGGAGGGAGGTCATCCCAGGACAGGACAAGAGGAAACGGGCACAAACTTGAACATAAGAAGTTCCATCTAAACATGAGGAGGAACTTCTTTCCTGTGAGGGGGGCAGAGCCCTGGCAGAGGCTGCCCAGAGAGGTGGTGGAGTCTCCTTCTCTGGAGACATTCAAACCCCACCTGGACATGTTCCAGTGGGACCTGCTCTGGGTGGCAGGGGGTTGGAGGAGATGGTCTCCAGAGGTCCCTTCCAACCCTGTATGGAGGAAAGTCCCTTCCAACCCTGTATCATTCTGTGAAGGAGGAATGAAGGTGGTCCTTTCTCTTGGTCACCGTTATTTACCAGGCCACCTCATTCCACATTATGTGGTGACCACAGGACCATTTGGGTGGCACTTGGCTTAAGCTGAGAGGAGTTTTCAGTGGGCTAAGAAGCTTCTTGCACGTACCCAGTTGAAATGTGCGTGTCTTTCAGCTGACACCTCGGGTGGTACAAAGTGGTTAAAGTTGTCTTTCCATCTGTCCCGTGTCTTTGCAGCTGAAGGCACGGTGTGAAGAGCTGAAGCTGGACTGGTCAACGTTGTCACTGGAGAACCTGCTGAAAGAGAAGCAGGCGCTGAAGAATCAGATTTCTGAGAAACAAAAGCACTGTTTGGAACTGCAGGTAGAGAGCGAGAAACAAATCTGGAGTCACCAGCCTGGGGCAGCTCTTGGGCAATGGGCCAGTTAAGGGGATTTGACTCAATGTGATGGTAAAGGATAAGCTGAGGGACCGTTTTTCTTCTCCCACTCTCCTCCCCCAGGGGCTAATCTTTTTATTAGGGGGTTTTAGTAAACTTGAAGAATAAGGATGTGGATAACTTTTAAAGGAAATAAGTGCTGTGACCTGATTCCTTGGTAACGGTGTGCAAGGAGGAATCATGGTTTATCGTGAAATAGAATTAAAAAGCATGACTGGGTGAAAAGAAAGGTCCTGCTTGTTTGCATAATATGTGGCTTCATGAGAATGTCTTCTGTGCCCTCTGATGTCTTGGGTCAGGAGTTGGTTCCCACAGAATGTCACTTGCTGCAGTGAAAAGAGATTAAACTCCTGTGACTGAGGAACTTTTCTTTCCCTGTGGGATCAGCACTGGAGCTACTCCTACCCCTGGGTCCTCCGGCACGGAGTGACTTCAATGCCTGGCAGTGTTGAGTTACTCCATGCTCTCTGTATAAGTTGGAGATATTTGATGTTGGCTTGCAAGATCTGAATGGTGCTTTCTAGGAGTCTCTGAGCCTTTCCCTTTACCTGTGCCTTTTGGCCTCAAGCTCAGAGCAGCACCTTGAAAATTTGTTTCTCAAATCTTGGGTCAGTTGTTCTGCCTTGTTCCCAGAAACGGGGCGCCGCTTTTCCTGAGAAGCTACGTGTTTCTCAAATCTTGGGTCAGTTGTTCTGCTTTTCGGTGCCGCTTTTCCTGAGAAGCTACATGATAGAATTGTTAAGTGTGGTCTTTAATCGTTGTCCTCCTCTTCATTTAAAGATCAGCATTGTGGAACTTGAGAAAAGTCAAAGGCAGCAGGAGCTCCTGCAGCTGAAATCGTACACGCCGTCTGAGGAGTCGCTGTCAGTGCAGCTCCGCAATAAGCCCCATCTGAGCCGTGATCCTGAGGCTGATCACGGCAGGTTCCAGCTGGAGCTGGAATGCTCTAAGTTCCCCATGCCCCACATCAATGGCATGAGCCCTGAACTCTCCATGAACGGCCACGCGACTCCCTACGAAATCCATAACACTTTTAGCAGGCCCTCCTCCAAGCAGAACACCCCTCAGTACAGCACCTCTCACCTGGACCAAGACATAGTTCCGTGTACCCCGAACCACGGCAGCAGACAGAAGGCAGACAAGATGACCAGCTTGTCCTTACCCGATTATACCAGGTTTTCCCCAGCTAAAATAGCCCTGAGGAGACACTTGAATCAAGACCATGCAGTCAATGGAAAAGCAACAACTAATGAGATACAGAGGTGAGAGTGATCATTTCCCAGGATGGGAAAGGAGGGGTAATGCTATTGCTTGGTTTTAATAACAGTGGTTTGTTTGGATTGTGGAAAAATATTTTTTAACAGTGGAATTTTATAGACTTTTAGAAGTTTTGTGTCAAGAAAACCAGCAGTGCCAGCTGATTGACTGGGTGAATGTGGTGGTACAGTGCCTTGGGTCTGGTACAGGAATTCCTTGCGAAGGAGAAGTCGTTAACTTTTGTATCCTAACGATGGTACGTCTCTGTTCCAGAGCTGACCATGTCAAAGAGAATGGCCTTACATATCCAAGCCCTGGTATTTCAAATGGCATAAAGCTGAGTCCTCAGGAAACTCGGCCCTCTTCCCCAGCGGCCTTACCAGTTGCAGGCGAGAAGGTAAGAGATCTGTTTGTGTGGGGGGGTGTTACACCTGGGAGAACAAAGTAAAAATGGGCCAAATTAGGGGATGTGGGCAGGTTCCCTTCTGTGGGCAGCTTGGCGTGGAAAATAACACAAAATACAATAGGTGTGGTACGATCAAAAGAAGGAACTGGCTGGAGGAAGAGAATACTGTGCCCGTGAGAGGTGTGCTTACCCTCCAGTTACTGGTTTGCATGTGAATCAGACCAGTAATGCAGTAGGACTTCTCTTTGATCTGGCGTGTGCCTACTTGAACTTGAAAAATAGACTCTTTCATGGTTTAAAAAAAGAAAAAATAACAAAAAATTGCCCACGTAATTGGTCCAGCGATGAATCATATTGGTGCTCATCTCAGAGCAAGCAGGTGCCCTCCAGTAGGAGGTTACCATGGAAATATTTCTGGCTACTGCATCCACAGCATACAGAGGGCCTCAAGATATGAATTCTGTCAAAGACTGCTTTTCACAGAGCTCTGACAAAGACACTGGGAAATGAGCTTGCCTAAGGCAGCCTTTGCCTTGTGCTTGGGGACAGCAGGAGCTTTATTTTACCTATTGCTCTGCTGTTGGATATTGGTGTCTGAGTCAGCTTTGCTTTATGGTCATCGCTCTTAATCAGAGAATCATAGAATTGTCCAGGTTGGAAGGGACCTTTAATGTCAGCTAGTCCAACCATCAACCCAACCCTGCCCAAGCCACCACTGATCCATGTCCCTCAGCACCACCTCTGCCCAGCTTTTAAGTCCCTCCAGGAATGGTGCCTCAACCACTGCCCTGGGCAGCCCATTCCAAGGCTTCATAACCCTTTCCTTGTAAAAAATGTTCCTAATCTCCAGCCTGAACCTCCCCTGGCCATTTCCTCTTGTCCTATCACCTGTTTCTTGGGAGAAGAGACTGACCCCCCCTGGATACACCCTCCTTTCAGGGAGCTGTAGAGAATGAGAAGGTCTCCCCTCAGCCTCCTTTTCTCCAGGCTGAACACCCCCCAGCTCACTCAGCCACTCATGAGACTCATTCCACTCATAAGACTCCTAAGTCCTCATAAGACTTGTTCTCCAGACCCCTCACCAGCTTTGGTGCCCTTCTATGGACCTGCTCCAGCACCTCAATGTCTTTGTGTAATTCTTTTTGGAAAAAAAAGGGAGGGAGGGAATATAAACGAGCAGGTTACCATTAGTTTAAGAGACCCCTCACCAGCTTTGTTGCCCTTCTATGGACCTGCTCCAGTACCTCAATGCCTTTGTGTAATTCTTTTTGGAAAATAAAGGGAGAGAGGGAATATAAACGAGCAGGTTACCGTTAGTTTAAAAAGTCTTTTCAGTAATAGCACGTCACTAAGATCATTACTTTCTCTTTTGCCTTTACAGGTTTTGAGAGAGAGAACCTCTGTGAGTAATGGAGAAACTATCACCAGCCTACCTATCAGTATTCCTCTCAGCACAGTGCAGCCCAATAAACTCCCTGTTAGTATCCCTCTGGCCAGCGTAGTCCTACCTAGCCGTGTTGAGAAGGTGGTGAGTAAGGGATTGTCAACGCTTTCCATCCCTAACTAAAAATCACAGCGGGCAGTAACGGGGAGCCGTGCATCAGGAGCCTTAGTGGGGCACTCTCCGTGCTCAGGGGGAGGCTCTGGGGATTCATCCTCTTGGCTCTTAGTCATTCTGTAGATTTTGACTCTCTTTTGTCTGTGGGGTGGTGGTATTTGAGCCAGGAAGGAAAGTAAAGCACATGCCTCAAGAGATCCTAGACTTAATCTGGGTGGAAAAGGCATGGAGTTTGAGAGTTTTGGGCAGTGAAAGCAGAGAATCACACGTCTCAGTTCTTAGCTCCTGCCTCCCTACGTGACCCTGGGAGACAAATCCTTCTGCCTCAGTTAGATCATCCAAAATGGTCTGTGTCACACACGTGTGTCGGGTGAACTTGGGTAGCACCTTGGGGCTGTAGTGCCAACGGCGTGAGGAACTGCTTTGTAGCTACAGGGAGCAACTGAGAGAACTTTGGGAGCCATCCCTCTTTGAAATTCTAATAAGCCCGTGCTGCTCCCACTGCAGAGGAGTTTAAAAAAGCCTGGTCCAGTTTCTCATGAATATTTGTCACCAAAGTGTTACGGTAGACAACTGAGACACATTTGCTGCTTTCACTAGAGCTGTGAATTTAGAATCCATCCAGCAAAGCCTGCCTTACAATCCCATATCTGGAGAGCTGGAGTTGTTCCATAGTATTGAATCCACTCTCTTTTCCCAGCTGTAGGCTTCTGGCTGTAACAGAACTAGGGGCTGCCCAGCTCCGAGCAGAACCTGTGCGTCCTCAGTGAGAGAGAACGTTCCCTCTCCTGGCATCTCTCACTTCAACACATTCTTATTCAGGCTCCCATTTTGCATTTGTTTCCCTGCTTTAAGCAAACCCTGCTTGTTGCTGATACCCCCAGAGAGCGTACCAGAGAACACAGCCTAATCCTTTTCATCTTCAGTTTGGGGTTTTTTTGGAGAACTTTGTGTGCACAGGCTTGGGGACATGTTACAATCATTTATGTCCTTTCCAGCTGCCTGTGAACCAGGCGGTTGATCTCTGATGGCAGTGCCATCCTGAGTCTAAGCTTTTCAGGACGATGAGTCTGTCCCTCTATCTGCTTTGGGCTAGATACTACTGCAGTCTAATTAATCACACTATTTATTTTTGTCCAATTATGTGCCCATCTATGTTATTCTCAAAACAAGCAAAATCTAGGCCATTGAGCAAGTAGAGCCACTTTCCTCGGTAGATCCACTAATGCATGTGAATTTTGTTTCAACTGTTGACTTTTGGGTATAATTCCTGTACTGAAATGCCTGTTTCTCTTTCCCCAGAGAAGCACACCTAGCCCAGTTCATCAGAGTAGAGACTCCTCGACACTTGAAAAGCAGTTTGGTGCTAGTTCTCATAATGGCGTAAGCAATGCTGCTGGAAACAAGCCACTGGCTTTGGCTACCTCAGGTAACGGCCTCGTCTAGGTGAGGGCTCGCTGTCCCGTCGTGACAGCACTCCCAGTGCATGCCTCGGAGGTTTCTGGGCACTTGTCAGGTCATTCAGGCAGGAAAGGGCCAGATAAATGGGTGTTTTTGTACTGAGACCAAAGAATCGTGGCTGATGATGCTTCGAGACAGTATTTGCCTACAGCTTGCATTTATTCTGGCATAAAATTTGGCTTGACGTACCTTTTCCTGCACTGCAGCACCTTGCAGTGTAAATAAATAGTTGCTTTTATAAATTTTTCTATGTGGATTAAGAGATTTCCACCTCTACAGTGGGGCAACGTGTTGCATTGATTGCTACGAGCTGATGATCTGGCTTTTAAAAGTTTCATTTTACCGGGTGGTGGAGGTTTTTTTAATAGCAAAATTAATTGCTTGGTGCGGGTCACAGTGGTGCCTCGTGAGCAGTTGTGAAGGCACGAGGATGTGGGTAGGAAGGAGGGTGAAAGGGGGAGGGCAGGGATATACCTGGTAAGTGCAGATGTTGCTTCTGAACTCGCTCATCTGTGGAAATTGTGGCCTTTAGCTCTTCAGGCAGTGGAAATGTTGTGGACCAGTAAGTTCTAGCATATTAGAAGCTGTTCTACAGCTGATCCCTCGTGAGGGAGGACATCTCTTCTTAATGTTCACCACCTCGAGGGGCTTGTGTTGTTTCTAGCATCTGTTTTGCAAAGAAGAGCTTGGCTGCGGTTTTCTAGAAAACCAATGAAATATTTAAAAAACCCCTTGTTTTAAAACAATACCATGTTCCCTTCTGCCCCTTTCATTTAGACAGCCCAGAGATAAGGCCTTACTACAGCACTAAACCCATTTAGGATACACTGTGACAAATATTAATTCCCTTCCCAAGCTTCTTTCTCCTGCCACAATTTCTTTGAGGATCCCCCGTCACTTCCAAAGCCACAGCCTTTTGCTTAATTTGGAGAAGAAGCTGGGCTGTAGAGATGACACAGTCCCTTTTTTGGGGAAGGAAACAGCCTGAATTTGGCTGTCTGTTTCCTTGGCGATAGGAAGGAGCTGAGAGTAAAGGAGCCCTTATTCCAAAAGGCGTTTAATAGCTCAAAGGAAACTTACACTTGAATTCCATTTAAAAACCGGGTAGAGCGTAGGATTTCTCCCTATGACACGTGGATTCTCCTGAAACTGGCCAAAAAGTAGTGAAAATTGTTAACCCCTCACCAAAATTGCCAGCGCCCAGAGCCACGTCTCAGCTGCCCCCTGTAACAGGCGAGTGACACCCGGCTGCTGGGACGCAGGCAGAGCTGACCCCAGCCCCAGTCCTCCCAGCACTCCCAGTACTCTAGCACTGTGACCTCTCGCTCAGCAGAAGCAATGATGTATACTTTCCCTTTCAACAGGTTTTTCTTACTCTTCTGGCTCCGTGGCAGTCAATGGAAATCTTACAAACAGCCCAGCCCATCTTAACCATAGTGTTGATCAGGCAGCTCTGGACGACTCCGGGAGTCTCTTTAGCTCTGTAGGGTCTCGGAGTTCCACTCCACAACATCCTTTGCTAATGATGCAGTCGAGGAACTCTGGGCCAAACTCCCCTGCTCACCAGCACTCAGCAAGCCCCAGGTTAAATGGCACCTCTCAGAGCCTGGTAGGAGGGGTATTGCAATATGCAGATGCTCAGAAGATGTTTGCCGAAGGAACAAAGGGGGATCTTCAGTCTGATGCAGCGTTTTCAGATCCTGAGAACGAGGCCAAGAGAAGAATCATCTTTACGATCTCTCCTAATACAGGACATGTAAAACAATCCCCTTCCAACAAGCACAGTCCTCTGCCCGCGAGCGCTCGGCTGGACTGCGGCCAAGCCCACGCGCAGGACGGCAAGAAGCGAGGCCGGCGGAAGAGAAGCTCCACCGGGAATCTCAGCGGGAACGCCGGGGTCTCCCCTAAACGCAAATCCTTACCTACTGTGTCTGGGCTCTTTACGCAGCCGTCGGGTTCACCCCTCAATATCAACTCCATGGTAAGGGCAAAAACGAAGAGCTTTGACAAGAGAGAAGGGTGTGGGAAAGCTCTTGGAATGAGAAACAACTTTAACTGCCTGTTCTTTAGCACATTCTGTGTGTAGAGCAGGCAGATCGGTGTGAGGACGCTTCGTGAAAGGGGTTCACCCCTCAATATCAACTCCATGGTAAGGGCAAAAACGAAGAGCTTTGACAAGAGAGAAGGGTGTGGGAAAGCTCTTGGAATGAGAAACAACTTTAACTGCCTGTTCTTTAGCACATTCTGTGTGTAGAGCAGGCAGATCGGTGTGAGGACGCTTCGTGAAAGGGGTTCACCCCTCAATATCAGAGAGGGGATTCTGCCACTTTACTCTGCTCTGGTGAGACCTCACCTGGAGTATTGTGTGCAGGTCTGGAGCCCTCAATATAAGAAGGACATGGACCTGATGGAGAGGGTCCAGAGGAGGGCCACAAGGATGATCAGGGGGATGGAGCACCTCTGCTACGAGGACAGGCTGAGGGAGCTGGGGTTGTTCAGCCTGGAGAAGAGGAGGCTCCGGGGAGACCTAATAGCAGCCTTCCAGTACCTGAGGGGGCTACAGGAAGGCTGGGGAGAGCCTGTTTAGAAAGGGCTGCAGTGACAGGACGAGGGGCAATGGCTTCAAGCTGGAGGGGAACAGATTTAGATTGGAGATTAGAAGGGGGTTCTTTACTGTGAGGGTGGTGGAGCACTGGGACAGGTTGCCCAGGGAGGTGGTTGAGGCCCCTTCCCTGGAGATATTCAAGGTGAGGCTCAAGGAGGCCCTGGGCAACCTGGTCTAGTTGGGGGTGTCCCTGCTGACTGCGGGGGGGTGGGACTAGATGGCCTTTGGAGGTCCCTTCTGGCCTGGGCAATTCTATGATTCTATGAATATCAACTCCATGGTAAGGGCAAAAACGAAGAGCTTTAACAGGAGAGAAGGGTGTGGGAAAGCTCTTTGAATGAGAAACAACTTTAACTGCCTGTTCTTTGGCACATTCTGTGTGTAGAGCAGGCAGATCGGTGTGAGGACGCTTCGTGAAAGGGGGTGAGAAAATTGCTGAGAAGTTGGGGAACTGTTTATGAGCAGGTAGAACTTCTGCAAAGAGTTCTTTGCTGTCAGAGCATTAAAAGGGAAAAATAATCTCTTATGACAAAAGACTTGTTTCTGCAGCGAAGTTGCTTTTTTTTTTTTTAGGCTGTAGGTTAAATATTTTGAAAATAGTTTATACGAAGATTGACTAAGTAGTGTAAGAGTGCCAGAAGCATATGGCATTCTTGCATAATTAAGCCAGCTATACGAGTGGTGTTCGTGTGATCCTGTAGTTGGAAAAGAAACGTGATTATCCTGTGTCTTCATGTCTGTATTTAAACATAAAATCAAAGAACGAAAATGAGGTATTTTTCCAAGCTTTATTTAATCTTTCATCTCGGGCTGTGTTGCAGGGAGGTGGGTGTGACAGCAGCAGTGCTAAATGAGCAGCTTTGGCGTATCCGAAAGCGGAGCAAGTTAAGCCTGCTTTGAATATCCTTAACAAGATGCCTTGTTTCTAAAGGGCTACTCTCACCTGTAACCGCTTTCTTTCCTTCTTGCCCAGGTCAATAACATTAACCAGCCTTTAGAAATAACAGCCATTTCCTCTCCTGAAAACTCCCTGAAGAACTCTCCTGTTCCTTACCAGGACAATGACCAGCCCCCGGTACTGAAAAAGGAAAAGCCCCTCGTTCAGACCAACGGGGTTCATTACTCCCCTCTAACGTCGGATGAAGAGCAGGGATCTGAAGACGAGCACAACAGCAGCAGGTGGGGGCACAGACAGGGGGGTCGGGGGGAGATTGCTCTGGGAGCTGCCAACGGGGCTCTGAACCAGAAAAGGGAGAGGTGTGTGAGGCCGCCTGTGTCCCCTGTGCTTGGAGAGTGATTCCCTCATCCCACCCCTCTCACGCGGCTGGAATCGCGAACAGGGAAGGTGGGAACCTACTGTAGGACAAGAGGAAACAGCCTCAAGTTGTGCCAGGGGAGGTTTAGGATGGATATTGGGAATAATGTCTTCACTGAAAGGGTTGTGAAGCCTTGGAAGAGGCTGCCCAGGGCAGTGGTGGAGTCACCATCCCTGGAGGGATTTAAGGCCGGGCAGACGTGGTGCTGAGGGACATGGGTCAGTGGGGGTTTGGGCAGGGTTGGGTCGATGGTTGGACTCGATCTGAAAGGTCCCTTCCAACCCAGATGATTCTCTGTGTTGCTGTGTTTGCAAGGCTCACAGAGTCTGCCCTCCCAAAGAATTAGTGTAGAAATGATTTTATTTTTATTACCACGTTGCTTTGGAGGAGGAGCACCGAGTGTGTGTGTAACCTTTAACTAAGAATCTGTCTCCCCCTCACTCCCAGTTTCAGCTTGATTCAAAAATCTTCCTGCTCCAAACTCTTGATGTGTTGCTCTGAAAATTGAGTGTTTTCCACCCTTTACCTGCCTGGGGGGGGTGCAATTTTTTTCATGTTTAAAGTGCTGGATAAATAACCACTGTAGAAATGTGAGCAGCAGCCTATGGCTTACTGATAAAGAGCAGCAACAATGGAGTCCTCTGAACGTGCACTGATCTTGGCAAAGAGCACAAATTCTGTAACAGCTTCTACTTAAAGTCTGTGGTGGATTTTTTAAGTTCCTTTAGTAGCGTCCAGCTTTCTGGCTGACTTGGCTTTACATGCTCTGGGCAACTGTTAAGACGTGAACGTGCGGAAGGTGAGGGTTATGAGAGTAAATGTGCAACTAAAGGTCTGCAGTGAGTGCTATAACCCTTTTATTTTCCTGCTAGAATCGAAAGGAAAATTGCAACCATATCATTGGAAAGCAAATCTCCGCAGAAGACTGTTGAAAATGGTAGGTGTGAGGAATGTTAATTACTCATCGTAAGGGTTGTGCTGGGGAATGGGTGGCTGCTCCTGAAGGTGTTGGTCAGAAGAGGGCCCTTTCTGTGCTGCTGAGCAGAGCGCAGTTCTGCCAGGGCTTTGCAGAATCCTAATTAAGACAGGTGGCTGATAATTACAGATTTTGGGTCAGTTCTTTCTGGAGTCACAGGTCACCAAAGATCTGACCAGGTTTTTTTTGCTGACGTGAGGTTTGGGGAGGGATCTGTAGTACAAAGACTGAGGAAAAGGTAGATCAGCATTTTCAAACATTTTCACAGCATTAAACTAAATTTTAAGGACTTTCAGGTGGCTTCACAAATATTTCTGTCTTGGGACCAGAAATAGAATTACAGACTGGCAAAACGTGTGTGTTGAAAGATAAAACCCTGTTTTTAATGAGCAGATTCAGCGAACGCTGTTTTTTGACATTTTACACGTGTTTTTTTCTTTCTTCCAAACCAGGCGGCAGCTTATCTGGGAGGAAACAAGCACAAAGCACCGAGAACATGAACAGCAGTAAATGGAAATCGACTTTTTCACCGATCTCTGACATCAACCTGACCAAAACGACAGACAGTCCCTTGCAGTCGGTCTCGGCCCTGAGCCAGAGCTCGCTGTTTGCCTTCAGGCCGCCCTCGGAGGACGCTCTGGCCATGGACACCAAGGTGGCACCTCACGGGAGGAAAAACGTCGCCGTGGCCTCGGCCGGTGCCGACGGGCTCAGCCCCGGTACAAACCCCCCCAACGGATTCTCCTACAACGGGGGGCTCTCCGCAGACCTGGGTTTACACAGCTTTATCGATGGTGCTTCTCTTCCCCACAAAGCTTCCGAGGTGACCACTTCCAGCTCCTCCCTGGGATTCCAGTCGCAACGAAGCAAAGATGTGGGGGGATCGGAAACGAATCCCTTCTTGAACAAGAGGCAACTCGAAGGCCTCGGCGGCACGAAAGGAGAAGATTTAAATCGGTCGGGGGTGAAAGGCAAAGAGATCGGCGAAATAAACGTTCGTGCTGGGGGTTCTTCGGAAAAAAACTCTTTGCAGCATAACGGAAAGGTCGGCAAAGGAAGGGACCGAGATGTGGAGTTTAAAAATGGCCACAACCTTTTCATTTCTGCTGCTGTTTCGTCTGGTGGCCTTCTGAATGGGAAAAGCCTTCCTACTGCTGTTTCTTCAGCAGCCAACCCAGCATCTTCTGTTCAGGCTCACCATCCTTTCCTAAACACTCTGACCACTGGATCGCAGTTTCCCCTCGGCCCCATGGCCTTGCAAGCAAACCTCAACTCGGTGACAAATTCCTCAGTATTGCAGTCCTTATTTAATTCCATGCCAGCTGCTGCCAGTCTGGTCCACGTGTCATCAGCTGCAACCAGACTGACTAATTCTCACACTATGGGGAACTTCTCTCCTGGGGTTACAGGTGGAACAGTTGGAGGTAGGCAGAACTCTTTCTCTGGTATAAGACAGGGCCTAAAGGAAAGTCTGACGCTGCCTCTCCAGGGCTGAAACCCCTTTCATTCCTGCAGGATGTGAAGCAGATCTGTCCCACATAACCAGTCTCCTCTCTCTCTCTCTCTTTCTCTCTCTCGGAAAATGCTAGGATGAGTTCAGTTCCCCACAGTGCAATCTCATGAGCTTTGTCTACTAGATGAGCTTGTTGTATCACCTTAATGAAAGAATACACCCAGACTTTTGTGATTTCCTAATGTGTGCTTGTTCAGATGTTGCTGTGTTGGAACCGCCTTTAGGTCTGCCTGCAGGTAACAGATTTCACGTGTCGTGGTACCGAGTTAAGGATCTCTAACTTGGCAACAGGTTGAGCTTAGGCCTTGAATGGATCTAGCGTGATCCAGGAAGAGCAAAAACCAAAAACGTGCCTCTTCAGAGGAGATGGTGTGGGGAATTGCGTAGCGTTCTGGCTCTTGAATGGACACGAAGAGCTTTTCTTTGCCAGGAAGGGCAATGCCATATGCACCTTGCGCTTCTGGGACTCTGCACGGGCTTGGCTTCCGTGGCCCAGGCTGGAGACAAGCTGGCAGGGCTAGAAGATAGTCTGAACCTGCCGGTACTAAGTGTCCGAGGCAGTTATTTTCTTACCTGCCCATAATCATTCAGGCACCATGTCGGGAAATCCTAACTCTCCCATCTCTCAGCACGTAGATTTGCTGGAAATGCACCCACCCTGCCCTGTAAGCGGGGACGCAGGAGGGTGGGGAGGGAAGAGCAGCAGTTTGAGTCTTCAGATAAACAACTCTAGAGACCACGTAATCTCATCAAAAAGTCTGCCCGTGTGGTATAGAACTGACAGTTCTTGGGTCTGACCATTTTTCCTTGTGGCATTTAGAGGTTGGCAGTAGGAAAGGTAAGTGATATCTTTTGTACCTCCTGGCCTGCACCATTACCTCTCATTGCTTGCTGCCTTCTCATGCTGCATATTTTTTGTATGGGGCTGTAACTATTATAATTTTGCTTTTTTTTTGTTTTGTTTTGTTTTTTTTTTTTTTTTTTTGGTTTTGTTTCTCTTGTCACTTGAGACTGTACAAAGCCCATCTGTTGAAGCTGAGTTTTTCTCTCCTGTTTGCAGGTATTTTTAACCATGCGGTGCCTTCTGCCTCCTCTCCTCATCAATTTGGAGCCAGTTTCAGCAGCAGTGCTGTCTCTAGCAGCACGGTGCTAAGCTTAAACCCCCTGCAGGCTATTGCCAGCACCTCATCCTCATCCTTCCCACCCCCTCCCTCTAATTTAGTAACATCTAGTGAGACTAGATCTGCTCAGCACCTCAACAGAGCGCCAGTGCAATCTGTTTTCCATTCCCCTCCTCCCCCTCCTAACGTTTCCTTGCCCCCTCCTCCTCCATTACTCGCTTCTAACTCCGAGCCCGCGCTTCTGCAGACCCTGCCATCCATCCCGCCCGCCGAGGCTTTTTTGCCACCCTCATCCTCTGCTTCTGCCCAACCTGCTAACGCTTCTTTGTCTATTAAGCTAGCTTCTCTCCAGCACAAATCCTCCCGCCCCTCCTTTACAGTCCATCACCCGCCTCTGCCCCGTTTGGCGCTGGCCCCGTCCGCGCCCGGGATCACCCAGTCCAACGCTGGCACCTCGGCCATGTGGGTTACCCTGGGCATGCAGCCTCCTTACGCTTCGCACCTTTCCGGGGTTAAGCCGCGATAAAGAGCTTGCTTAGCTAACCGTTCTTATTGCGTAAGGTAAGGCTCGGGGAACACAACCCAGGAGTTGTTGTGAGAGATGCTGAATGATGCTTCTTCCTTTTGCAGAGATATAGGTTGGGGATGGGCTCTGGGAAACAGAGAAAACCCTAAAATGGGGGAAAGCAAATAATCTGGTGGCAGAGGCTGGAGAGTCTTAACGCTCTCTGTTCTGGGAGTCAGGATTTCTCGACAATGGTAACTGTCTCATCTGGCGTATGGGGGAAAGCAAATAATCTGGTGGCAGAGGCTGGAGAGTCTTAACGCTCTCTGTTCTGGGAGTCAGGATTTCTCGACAAGGAGCACTCAAATGGTAACTGTCTCGTCTGGCATCAGGATTATGTCCAAGTGGGGATCACTTTCAGGAAAACGTTTATTTCTGAAGATCAGTAATCAGGAGGAAATGTCTATTTTTTAAGTATGGTTTTATACACTTGCTGGAAGTCGTCGTTGCCTACTGTGGTTGCCCCTCCCCTCTCCTTGCCCTCCCCCACGGCCTGTTGCCTCTCCACAAGTCCATGTCCGCGTAGCGTTAGGGTGCCTGGTGGTGCTGCTCGGTGACTGCATGTGGCACCGTGGCGGCCTTTTCTCCCCCCTCAGTCAACAACAGCTGCTCTGAATAATCACAAAGTCAAAAATTCTCTAGGTTACAAGCTGCAGCTTTGTCTTGGAGAGGAAATGCACTGGTCTTGGCTTTGCGGTTAACGTAATCCCATCCCTGCATCACTGGAAAACACAGCCCCAGGGAGCAGAGAAGGGTTGTCTTTTCTCTGGGCACTGCAGCTCTACTGGACTGGCCTGCTAGGGCTGGCAGTAGCCATCCCATGCTGGATTTACACTTGCTGGGCAACCAGACTGGGAATGAGAACACAGGGAACCGCAGGGTTAACTGGTCCGGGGGCCGTAGCAGAGGAGGGTCTCCGCACACTGTATATTTTTTATTGAAGCAAGTATTTAAATGCCTTTTAGAGCAACTCCCCAATAAAGTGTACCACCACGGAGCTGGGTACTGTTGTTAATGAACGTACTCTGAGGCATCCCCGTGTAACCACTTGGCGCTTGCGAAGTTCAGCCACCGTGTTAGGTCCCAGGGCTCGCCCCGCGCTTCTCCTCTAGGTCTTTGGTGGTGTCTCTGTTTGCTACATGGTTGGATACTCTTTGCTGCTTACAAAACGTACGCCTCGATTACAATATACCTGAGAGAGTCTTTTTTTGCCTGTGCCGATTACAATATACCTGAGAGAGTCTTTTTTGCCTGTGCCTGTGTTGGGTGTAGTGTCTCCATCATCAAATTGCTCCTCCAACAAATCCTCCTTAGGCTTTTGTGAGGCACGTAAGTATTATCTCCCTCCTTCCGTGCAAGGAGGGGAGGCTGAGGAAGAGTTTTGAGTGACGTGGTCCCCGTGTCCCTGCGTGATGCTGTTACAGAATGGGCATGAAAGACCCCAAACAGAGAGGAAAGAGGGGAGAAGGGGCAAGGAGGGTCAGGCTGGGGGGACCTGAGTGACCAGAGTGAGACCAGCCTGGAACCTTCTGCCCCTGCCCTCCCTGGAAATGGGCTCGTATTGGGCTGGATTCCATCCCATTGGATGGGACGGTCCCTGTCACTAAAAGGTTCTGGGCAAAATAGGCACAAAAGTGACATATGGAGAAAAGTAGCCGGATGGCAAAGCTGGATTGTGGAGTGAAGGAGCAGAGTTAACGCTCCCAGGAGATGGGGCGTGATGGACGGGCCGTAGTTGTGGTCCTGCTGCCCCAGACACATGGAGAAAGGGCAAATATTTGAGCAGTTTCATTGATTTTGGTGTGAATTTGGGTGCTCAGAGTCCTTGATGAACCAAGGCATGATGAAATCTGGAATCAGGGGCTAAAATAAACCTCTTAATGTTCTGCCCCATAAAACATTCAAAGCAGGTTAGTGTGTGCTAGAAAAAGGTGGAGTACTGGGCTCCTCAGTTCCAGAAGGACAGGGAACTGCTGGAGAGGGGACAGCAGAGGCTACAAAGATGATGAGGGGCCTGGAGCATCTCTCTCATGAGGAGAGGCTGAGGGACTTGGGGCTTTTCAGTCTGGAGAAGAGAAGACTGAGGGGGGATCTGATCAAGGCCTATAAATACTTCAAGGGTGAGGAGGATGGGGAGAGTCTTTTTTCAGTGGTGCCCAGGGACAGGACAAGAGGGAATGGGCACAAACTTGAATATAACAAGATCTGTCTAAACATGAGGAGGAACTTCTTTCCTGTGAGGGTGGCAGAGCCCTGGCAGAGGCTGCCCAGGGAGGTGGTGGAGTCTCCTTCTCTGGAGACATTCAAACCCATCTGGACACGTTCCTGTGGGACCTGCTCTGGGTGACCCTGCTCTGGCAGGGGGTTGGAGGAGATGATCTCCAGAGGTCCCTTCCGAACCCAGGTGATTCTGTGATTCTGTACTGAGTGAGGGAATGCTTTTTGTCCCCCCACTCGAGGTGAGTCTCAGGAGGATGGAGTTCAATATGGTGACGCTCTCAGAAGAGCTTTAAAATGAGTCAGAAGGGGCCGCGTGTCGCTTGGAGACATCCTTTCTCCCTGTGGTTGGGTCCAGAGTTGCTCCCGGGGGCTCGGAGCAACGTAGAAATGCTTAACACATCTAACACACAGCAGAGTTTTGTCTTTTATTTAGATGAGTCTCTTCCTCTCCTCCCGTTGTGCAGGTAACTAGGATTTCTACCTCAACCCAATGTGACCTATGCAAGGACAACGTGGACCAACTTCACTCGGCTTCCACTGAAAGGTGCTCACCTGGCCTGTGCAGGGGTTTCTACTCTATTACTACTGGACAAAATAAAAACATGAAAAGACCTAAACAACAGAAAAAAAAAATATTTACTGTGAATCTGAGTAAAAAAAGGCAAAAAAAGAAAAAAAAAAAAAGGCAGAAGAAATGCTTAAAGCTCCAGTTTGTATTGTTGATAGTTTAGATAAAGTATTTATCTTTTTTTAAAGTGAAAACAATTTTGACTTATTTTATTCCACCTAGAATCATAAATACGACTTATTATTAAATTCTCTTGACTAATAAAGGACTGGCACACCAGCAGAGATGTAAAGAGCCTCCTCTCGGTGCTATTTCAACCCGTCAGAACTGTGCCTCTAGTTTGATCCTTGGTGCTGCCTTCGGAGGGTTGCCCGACGCCAGACCCAGTTCTCAGACAGGTGGGAGTTTTGGTTTATTCCACTCGCTCTGTTCATATCCCAACGTCCTCGGGCTTCGCAGAAAAAGGCAGTTTCTGCCTTTCGAACCCAATGCTCTGTTTTTAACCCAAACTGAGCCAGGCGATCCATTAACTGGGTGGTCTTTAATTGTCTCCGTTACAAAGAAGGACATGGGGGCACCCCTCTGGCGTGGCCCTGGGGTGGCTCGGCCCCATCTGACCACAAGAAATTCAAGTCCTGCCCTGTTGGAACTCCTCCACTGGGCCATTTGCAGTTGCTGGTGGCACTGGAGTCACTGTGAATATTGGTAGCCAGCCCGGTAACTGGTTTTGGGGTGTCGTTGGCATATGAACAGGGTGGGGAATCACTGGTGTTGGTCAGGCCCTTGTCACCAGCGGTGGGAAGACACAACGTAGCGCGTCTTGTACTGGTGCAGGGAGCAGAACTTCTCACAGCTCGTTGGTTTTGTTCCAAGTACGATGTATTTTTTGTTTTTTTTGTTAGTAGGGTTTTGATACTTGATTCAGCAATGGCTTAGCCGTGTCCCATTTATTGACGGAAGTGCATTTTTGCTTTTGTATTTCTTTGCTTTAAGTAGGTCTACATGGTAGTTCACAAAAACACCGCGATCTGGCTTAACCGTGCTGCCACTATCCCACTGGTGCCGTTGATCGTCTCGTGACTTGGTGTTCCCTGTACAGAAAGCGCCGCTCGGGAGCAGCGGCTGTATTTTATAGAGATGTGATGAAAAAGAAAAAAAATATAAAGTTCATATTCTTTTATTTCATTTATTTTTAGATTGTACAATGCACAGTAAACTTGTAAAGACTTATTTATTCAAGTGCACAAAGTTGAGGAGAAGGGTGGTGTATCCGGTAGGAATCGCGCCGCTCTGCAGCTCAGGCTGGAGCGAGCACCAACAAAGGAAACTACAGTTCAAGAAGGGGAATTGCAACAGCAAAATGAGTAGAAGAAAAGGACGTTTAGGCTTTGGGGAAACAACTGCCTGATGGTCCCGAGGCTCTGAGGGACAGCACTGTCCTCAAATCCCTTCCAGGTCACTACTGCTCCCGGAGGACTCTTCCACCTCCAGCAATGGGGCATCCACCTTAGACTGGAGCCTTGCCCCACCAGCCCTTCCCCACCCCCGATGGAGCATCCCGAGGGCACAGAACACTGGGCATTTAATTAATTAATGCGTTAAACACACTTTAGGTGTCTGTTCTTGTAGTCAGTGAGATACCTCTGCCCCCGGGTGCTCTCTCCTGCTCCAGGCTCCGGGAGGAAGGGTTGTGGGCACGATGCTGGTCATCTTCAGAGTGGTGAGGGAGAGGGGCTGTAGCAGCTCCTGCCTTCTACCGACATCAGTGGGGCCCTTTTCTCTGTACCTCATCCATCTTCATAGAGATTTAGGATAAAATTCAGTAATTTTGTTGATTCTTAAGCGTGTCTTCCATAGGCAGGCTTTGTGCACAGAAACTGTTGGTCTAATTTTGCTGTCTCCTTCACCGGGAAGGGAAGGGAGTGATAGCCCTGGAAACTGGGGACACTTTGGAGCTGTTTTGTGCTTGGCGTGTGGGAGAGGACTTGAGAGCGCGGCGCCCTGCTGAGTTATTAACAGCGAAGTGAAAACTTGGGATAAAAGGGCAAAAACGCTCAGAGGGTGAGAGCTGAGAAACATCCAGTAGCTTCTCGTAGGAGCCGTACACAGTTTATATGTCCTGGAATCCAGGAGGACAATGTAACCCAGATGTTTTGCAGCTGGGAGTTGGGCAGCTCCAGCTTCTTCTGGATCTGTGGGTCACTGGGAGTTGGGGAGCTGCCTTCGCATCCTTCCTTCCCAGCCACCGGCAGAGCACGCGGGTCTCTGAAGGCTTGGTGTTGGTAGGCTGTGCCTGAGCATTGCAGCCTTAATTGCATCCCCCCCCTGTCTCTTACACCCTTGACAAGAGAGATGAGGAAATACAAGTAGAAGCTTTTCATCACTCTGCTTTTATCAGATCCTTTTCTGAAAAGGGACCAAGTTACGGTGCTCCTTGGACCTCTTGTGCCCACCTTCATCTCAAAGCACAGAAGAATCCGACAAGAGAACTTGGTGCCATCCCTTGCTCTCTATGGGGAGGGTTCCCTTGTGCTCACACCCAAGGTGCTTATAGGACACGAGCAAAGATGCCCATTTGGAGGAGGAACCGATGTCCGGAGCTCCGTGGAACCTGCTGTGCTCCCCAACATCTGCTGGAGGCCTGGATCACCCAGTGGCTCCTGGCACCGCTCCTCAGCTTGATGGAATGACTTGCTTTGCCCCAAGGTTCACAGCGTGCCAGGAATCGGTGTCTGGGGAGCCAGACAGAGATGGTTTAGTGGTGGACTTGGCAGTGTGAGGTTGATGGTTAGACTTGATGGTCGTAAAGGTCTTTTCCAACCTAAATGACCCTTTGGAGCAAAGGCCCTGGACAAGTCTTGGTTTGTCATCTGCTCCGGTGGGTGTCGTAGAAAAGCAAAACCCCCTCTGTCCTGCAGTGTCCCGTGTGGTGGGGGGTGAATGGTGATGGGTGGTCACCCGGTGTCTGTTGCTGGAGATGAGCAGCACAGGCTGTAGATATCAGCTCAACACACGTGCGCCATCAAGGCGTTCTCAGTGACCCAGGATTTTGGAGCCTGTGACTCCCCAGCTGTCGTCCGGGAAGTCCAGAGGAACCCAGACACTGACCCAGGAACAAACGTGTAGTTGGGACGGACTTGAAAGGGATTCGATCTGCGGCCAACCTGCCAAGCATCTGCTTCAGCCTCCTGGGGCCTGCTGGGACTGGCCTTCATCTACCTCTGCGTCGTCTCAGCCCTGCTGTTCCTGGTGACCCGACCTTTCCATCTCGGCAGCCCTGGAGCTGCTCTGGCCTGGCCAGTGTCTTCCACCCCCACCCGACACCGCTGGCACCTTCTCCTCGTGATGCCCACTGAGATGTGCTTCCAGGCAGGTGCCCCCGATGCTGATGCTCGGGGGGAGCAGAGGTGGGAGACCAGGCGAGGATGGGTTTTGGACGGGTGTTTTGATGTTGCATGAACTGGGAGATGTTGCCAAGAGATTTGTGCTGTCGTCTGCCCCACTCCCTCATCTTTTATCGCTTTGCCGTAACCTCGAGCAAGTTCAACTTGTTTCTTCTCTGTCTGCAGCCCAGGAGAGCGTTCACCTTGCTCTGGGCTGCGGAAGGGACAGCTCTTGGAGACGTGAAGATCTGATCCATATGGCTACAAGGATAAGCCCCTCCTGACCCTCCTGTAGGAGCGCTCTGCCAGAGGTCTGAAACCTGCTTTCAATAATTGGAGATAATTTTGAGTAATCAAAGCCAAACAGCTTCCAAAAAGGAATTCCTTCAGCCTTAACCACATCCTGTCGGCTCTGGTCCTTTCGTGGCTGTCACACGTGTTCCTTCTCCTCCAGGCCACCGCCAGCGAGGGACTCGTCGGGAAGCTGAGATCCATCTTGTAGCACGTACGTTGCCAAAAAAAGACAAGGAACTTCCTGAGCGTTGCGCCGGGCAGGACCCGTGTCCCGCTGCGGAGCCCCAGCCCCGGGGACCAGCCCTGAGCTGAACTCTTCCTTTTTTGGTGATTTGCTGCCTCTGGCTCGCGCTTCCCGGGTCGGGTCCATTGAGACCCACCGTGTTGAGAAGCTGAGCGAGCTCCAAGAGCAGGAAACCTGAAGTCAACGTTCGCTGCCCGTTAGTCATTCGGCACCAATCCCTCCGTTAGCCACCGGTGGGGCACCCAGCAGCCACTGGTCAGTTGGTGAGGGAGAAAGTGGTTGGAAGAGGTGGAGGGTTGGGCTGAACCCGAGCTGCTGCGCAGGGTGATGGGGACATCAAGCTGTCCCTGGTTCCCTCTTGTTTTGGGGCAAATGAGGCTGTTTCCTTTAGGAAGGTGTGGATCAGGCTGGACAACCGTGATGATGGGAAGTGTCTTCACCCCCCATACTCTTGGTTGTGGGTGCAAGGGGAAAGAGGTGAAGGGGAATGTGCTTTTTGGAGAAGCCACCAACAACGGGGAGTGTAGCCCATCCTGGATGTATGTGACACTTGGAGACAAAGTGCCATCTCCGACTGGTTTCTTCTAACAGCGGGAACTCCTGTCTCCTTGGCCACGAAGAAATTGTGCTTCCATCTCACCTCCTGCCTTCCTCGTGGCTGCTTTGTCTTCAAGGGTTTGTGCAGATGGAGGTGAGCTTGTAGGGTCTGGATCTGATGGCACCTGCAGTCGCTGGAGTGCCCAGGACAGGATGGTTGTATCACTTGGTCTTGAAGGGATCTACCTTCACTGGTTTTGAGCGTCAAGAGCTTTCAAATCCCCAGGACTTGATGCTCCTCAGCCTGAGACTCACCCAACTCTTTGTCACTTGTTGAATCTCAAGTTGTAGTGTTGAGTAGCATTTTTCTTTCTTTAATCAAACTTTATACCCAAGCAAGTAACTTCTTCACTTGAAATCTGCTGAGCAGATGGGTTTTGGGCTTGAGAAGCTCTTCCATTGCATCTGACATCTCACACTGGAGGGTTGCTTCTGTGCTGCTTGGCCGGTCAGGGTGGATGGCCCGGCTCAGTGGGGTCTGACATGTGGGTGCCTGCCCTCACCCCTGTGGGGACAAGAGTTTCCTTCTGAGAGGCCTTGGTGACACTTCTTCCTCAGCCAGCTCCTTCAGGGGTTGGACTAGATGACCTTTAAAGGTCCCTTCCCATCCAGACTGTTCTAGGAGTCTCTGTACAGATTAATCTGGGATTGTCGCTTTGCCTTGGAAAATCCATGGGAGGGATGAGTGGGAGGGAGATGGATGAGGAGGACAAGAGGGATGGGACCCAGTTCTGCCTCGGGTGGGGCCACAGCAGCAGTTGCAGGTCAGGTCTCCACACCAGGATGGATTTACCCCCTGTGGTGGTGGGATCCTGTCTCATCCCAGCCTTCCCTCAGAGGGGGCTCTTGTCTGCCTTTGGGCTTCCCCTTCCAGGAGAAGGTCTACTCTGGAGTGACGAGGCTGTGGACAGGCAGCTTGGGGTGGCTTCCAGGGACCTGTGTACTTCGATTCTTGCCAGGATTGTGTATTTAGAGAGCAGCATCTGCTCCCCACACCCGTTATGGTTCCACTTGGAGGAGAGTCCGAGCAGGGGAGAGCATTGGTGGATGCAGAGCTGGTTTCTGCCGTGGGGCAGGGCATGGACTCAGCTTTTGTTCAGGTGATGGTTTCGGTGGGACCCAGAGTCACTGAGAGCAGTTTGAAGGCCATTGTGTGCTTCCATCTCCGCTGAGTTTATACAGAGGGCCCACTTCTGGGACTCCTGTGGACCCACCGGTGGCCCTGGCACGAGGACCTGTGGGACCTGTGCCCTTGCGGTGCTCCTGCAGCAGGGGCTGGTTGCTGTGGGTAGGAGGGTGGCTCTGGGTGGGCATTTGGGACCTTTACACAACAAAAGGCTGCTCTCTCAGCCTCGGTCCCTGCCCTGCTCCAGCTCTTACCGTTGCTGGAAGAGGAGGTGTCCAGCTCTGGGAGCTTGATCTCAAGCTGCTGATGGTGACTCCCCTCCCGGCTGGGACTTCCCCGTGTCCTTCCTTCCCAGCTGGGTCTGGGGTTGGTGCTAATCACCCCAAGCTCTAATAACAAATGTGGTGTCCCCCTGGGGGCTGATGGCAGGAGAGCCCTTGTCCCCTCCAGGGCTGATGGCAGGAGAGCCCTTGTCCCCCCGGGGCTGATGGCAGGAGAGCCCTTCTTTAGGACTCGGTGACTTTGTCCCAGCGCTGACCTCGGGTGGCTTTGGCTGATCATGTCCTTCGTGTGACCCCGTTGCTTTCCGTGCTGAAATCGGTCTTTTTAATTACACAGGGTATGGAAACCTGCAGATTATTGATGGATTTTTTTTCCCTTGGAGGGAGTTCTCCCGCCTCACGGGGGTGGGTGGCCGGAAAAATCCGGTTTTTGTGGTTTTACCTGAGCCAGAAGCACGAAGAGATTGAGCGTGGGGAGCGGTGGTGTCCCCAGCGAAGGGGGGACCTTGTGCCGGGGGCTGCAAACCATCAGGAATGGCTTTTAAAAATCACAGTTTGGGGAGAAGAAACTGGACAGTGTTTTTGTGAACTATCTTTGCAGCACTGAGGGAAAAAAAAAAAAACAAAAAATCCCAAGAATTGGCTTTTTTGGAAGCACAGATATGGTCAGTGGAGGAGAATTCGAAGTTTTAGGGCTGTTAAAAGTTTTTTTTTCCTCTTTTCTTTGCTCCACCATTTCCGCAGTTTGCGTATCGGGTTGTCACTCAACGATGGATTCCCAGTTTTAAAAATATTGTTGTGCCATATTTTATTTATCCTTATGCATTTTAAGTATATAAATATCTATTTAGATTGAATATTGCAACAAAAAAATGCTTTTATTGTGAACTTCAGGGTTTAAACCCGAGACGAAAAAAAAATGGGAAATACTTCTCCAATATATTTGCTGTTTGCGACCCTCTTTCGGTCTTAATTTTCTTAAGTTTTTAGAGTTTAAAAACGATAAATCACATCTTAAAATTCCAAGTTTGATGGCGTTAACCCTGAAGTTCTCAAGTTTGTGATCCTTTGGGTCTCCCGAGGTTACACCTGGTGGCTTTTCTGGCGCAGTCGAATCGGTCTTTGAGGAAGGTCTGGTTTCTGGAGTCGATGAGGAGAAGGTGGAAGGGGTTGATCCATCCTGCTTGGCTTTTTTTAACCTATTAATCTTTTAAGCGATCAAATTAAAAAAAAAAAAATACCACCAACTTTTTAGGTCTCTGTTCTACTTAAAACTTTTTAGGAGTGAGAGCCTGCCCTCGCTGAGTGGGACTTCGATGGGGAAAGCAGTAGATTATGAGGTTGCTGTTGCTCAGGAATTGATTAGTAAACTTTTAACTACTAATAAAAATCCATTTTTCGATGGATTTTTTTTAAAAAACCCCATTTTCTTAGAACAGTGATATGGGATGTTTCCTAGTGAATAGGAATTAGTTTATATAATTTAGCCTATTAAACCGAATTATTTAAAATTCAAACTTCCCCTAATTTATCTTTTGTTTTGTTTTGTTTTGTTGGTTTTTGTTTTGGTTTTTTTTTTATACCGGTAAGTTTTCCTGTCGTTCCTTTCATTCTTCCATAGAAGTAGTGTGAATTCTGGTGTGTATATATGTATGTATAATATATATATTTCCACCCTGCCTTTCTAATTCTCCACAATGTAAGAGTTAGTTTTGGTTTTTTTTTTTTTTTTCTTTCCCTCCCCCTCCCTCCACTTAATTTCTTGTGTCTTTACCTTGATTTGTAATTGAAAAAAACGATGCTTTGGAGTTTTTGTCTTTATATTAAAGTGTATGTATTTTAATACACCGTGCTGTTGTGGAGTGTCACTGCGCCACCGGGGACGGCGCTCGCCGAGGAGTCGGGGTGTTGGGACACCCCCCCCCAACCTTCTCCCCACACCCCGTGTCCCCCAGCACTGGGGACGCTGAGGATTTGGGGTTTAGGACACCATTAGGACACCATTGCAACCCCCCCCGGGGACATTTCCCATTTAGGCAGTGATTTCACCAGCTCAATGACACTGGAACCGCCAGGGAATGGATTGAAACTTGGGGAGCGATGGCTGAAACGATTTCCAGGGGATTTCCTGGAGGATTCTTAAAATGAGATGAAGCCCCCACTTCACCGGGTGCTTGTGGAGCTCCGGGCAGGTTTGGAGGGTGGCCCAGCTCTGCTTTCTGAGTTTGTCCCCAAAGCCACAGCTGAGTGTGCGGCTCCGGGGACAAAAAGCCTCTAAAAATGACCTTGTGGAGCTGCTGGCAGCTGGGGTGACCCCCCCCCTGCCTGCAGGGCTGGGGTGAGGAGCCGCCTGGTGGGACCCCCCCAGCCCCAGCTCCACTCACTCAGAACAGCTCCCACTGCCACAAAAGAATAAAACAAGTTTTTATTGGTGCTATTCGCTGCACGAGAGAGAAATGGCTTCGGTGCACGTTCGGGGAGCCCACGCGGAGGCCACCGAACTACAAAAAAAGCAGTGACCAGTGTGAAAAACGAACAATTATCTATAAATCATTGACAGTCGATGCAGATCTCATTGTCCACAAGTACCACGTCCCTCCCTCTGATTCCTCACCCCGTTGATCCCAGTCCGTTACTGGGCCCGGCGCCGGCCCCTGTAACGTGTCACAGCATTTGGTTTCTTACATTCAGCAAAGAAATGTGGTAGAAGTGTTGGGATTATCTCTCACTCACCCAACTGTTCCCCAGAACATCCAAAAAAAAAAAAAATTAATAAAAAAAAGAAATGCCCATTGTACATAGAGTGGGGCTGGTGGGTGTCACTCCCTCCTGAAGGGTATGTGACACTGGTGACAGTCCTGGAAGGCACATGGTGGGCAACAGGAACAGTGAGGTGCCCCTTGCTGTACAATTAAGAGTGGGATTTTTTTTGCTAGAAATGACTGAATGTCGGCAAAACCCCCAGGGTTTCCTTTCTCGGTGGGTTGACTTGGTGTTTTGAAGAACTCACTGATGGGGAAAGCTGAGGAGCCGAGTCAGGACGTGGATGTTCTGCTCCTGGACCTGGCTGGTGGGAGCTGTGAGACCTGTGGGGGGACCCCACATCTGCGAGGGGAACCCCCCACATCGGTGATACCTGCTGGGGGACCCCACATCTGCAAGGGGAACCCCCTCCCCATCGGCGAGACCCCACGTCTGCCAGACCCCACGGCAGGAGAGGGAGCAGCCACTGCAGCAGAGCTCGGGTTGTGCCACCATGGAGCTTGGACCACACCTGTCCATCTGTCTGTCCATCCTCTCCGTGCAACCAGACAGACACGGCCCTTTTTCACAGTAAGTAAAGCTTCACCAGCCCGGCAGGAGCGTGCCCCTGCGCTGAGGTAAAGCAGCGCAGGCTGGTGAGGATTAAAATGCACTTTGAAGTCATTTGAGGACACTAATTCCCTAAAGCACCAGCTTCTCCTCTGTTCCTTTTAATCCCTCGTTGCTGCTTCCCCGGGAGCTGCCATCTGTCTTCAGACCTGCCCTATTTTCTGCTGCCACCCTGCCAGGCCCCAGCTGCTGGCGCAGGGCAGCTGCCCCTCTGCTTATTTTGGTAATTTCTAGAGCAAGCACCTGGAACCGTTGGAGGGAAAGGGAATATCTGGGGAGGGAAAGGAAAAATCTTGGCTTTGAGGTTAAAAATAAAGCATCGGTGACATCTGCCGCTCTCCTGGTACCCGGCAGCATGAGGTAAAGAGGAAAGGCCAGGCCACTAAAGCTCTTCTTTTGGCATTGATTCCCAGCCAAAGGGGAAGAGACCCAAAGCTTCCCTCCAAGCCCAGATCTTAGCACCAGCTGCTCCAACCCCACACACTCCCCAGGGGCTGGTCAGAGCAGCCTTTCTGCGAGCCAGGGGGCAACAAACACAGAGCCACAAACCCCCAGAGCTCAGGCCAAGCCCCCTCCCCAGCATTCACCTGCCCCAGCAGCGATTTGAGCTCCTCCCATCATCATCTGCCTGAAAACAGTACCCAGCACCTTCCCAAGGGCCTTTCCTGGAGCTTTTCCTGGGCGAGTTCCAGGGGAGCTGAAGGAATTGGGAAACTGGGTCTGCTGAAGCCCTGGGGGCAGCTGGAGGGAGCCTCTTTGTGTCTCAGTGCCGGGCACAGTTTCCCTTCCTGCAGCCAGAGGTTGAGGCTGAAGGTGCAGAGCCTCCGGGAGGGACTTTGTTCCCCAACACTTATCTCCTCATTCCAGGAGCTTTGGGGAAGGCAGCCCTTGTTCCCGGCAGCTCGCTGTGACCTCGGGGCAGTTTTCTGGGGAGAAAAGCTGCAGCAAAGGCTCAGGGAGTGAAGTGTTAATACCCAGCCTTCAAGCGCTCCCCGGGCTTTAACTTCTGCGTGCCCTGAAGCTCAACCATCCAGCCAAAGCCCAACAGCTCCTGTCTTTACAAACCCCCTCCATCTGGCTTTCCTCTCTGGAAGCTGAGTGACTGCAGGGCTTAGCCCAGCCCCCGGCGCTGCAGAGGGAGGCAGGATCCCAGCACCCAGCTCTCAGCCCTGTCCTCGCTGCCCCCTGCTCTGCAGCTTCCTTCTCGTGTGCATTTGTGAGAGTGTCTGGAGTGTGAGCTTCATCACGCCTCTAGGAATTAGCACCACCTGCCCAGAGAAGGGAAAAGAAGAAAAATAACCCCAAGAGGCTGGTGCTGGTGGCTGCAGAGATGCTGCTGCCTTGGCACAGGTCCCCTCCCTGCCAGCCTGAGCTAGGGCTGAGCTCTCCCGGTGTTAAAGGAAGGCTTCAAGCTCCTCCTCCTCCTCGCTCCACAACCTGGCCATCAGGCTCTGCCTGCAGGTCTCAGCCCCCAAAATGGCTTTGCAGTGGAGAGGGCACAGCAGGGTTAACCCCACGAGCACAGAAATGCAATCAGCTGGAGCATCCTCCTACATCTGGGGATGAAGAACCCTCCATGGCTGCGGATCCCGAGCCAGAAGAGCAGAGCAGCTCCCTGCAGGAGAGGGCAGGGAGGAAGAGGAGGGTGAAGGCTGGCCCAGGGCCTGCCCCAGCTCTGGAGGACAGGAGGCACTGGGAGCTCTTCAGTCCCTGCCTCCCCGGGTTTCACTCCCTCCCCTGCGCGGCACCGGCTCAAGGGCAGGGGCTGCAGGGAGCAGCTCCGGCTGATCCACCGCCGGGGCGAGTGGGAATGTGCAATGAATTCCCTTTAAAAAAAAAAAATCATATAAAAATATTTGGCTAATAAATTAAAAAGTCACTTGGTCACCGCTGTGGGGAACTGCTGCTGTTCCTGGGGGGGCTGGGGGTGACCCTCGGGGGGCAGAGGCCAGTTCAGCCCAGGCGAGGGGATTAATGCTTGTGTGTCCCCAGCTGGAATCGGGCTTCCTCGGAGATCCCGTACTGCTCCAGGGGGTCCTGCAGCAACACACAGGGGAGGCACCGCTGAGATGAGACAAGCAGGACTGTCCCCAGGGCTGGGCTGGGTGCTGATTCCCAGTCTTGTGCTGGATTTACCCCAGTCCAGCCCCTGGGTGCTGCTCCTGGTGCAGGAGGAGAAGCAGCCCGTGGGGAGGACAGAGGGTGGCCGAGGTCTCTGGGCTGTATTTGGCCCAGGGTGCTCGAGGAGCCTGGCAGAGCTGTGAGAGCATCAGCCCACGTAGCTCTGGTGTGGCCAGAGCTGCCTGTGACCTCCCCCAGGGAAGCAGTGGGAGCCTGGGCCAGCTCAGCCCAGACCTGTCTGGCCACAAACCTCAGGCTGCTCCGAAGAGCTGGAGCTGAGCACAACGCAGGCTGCTCAGCCTGGTTCCTCAGCCTGAGGAAGACTCAGCTCTGGCTGCCCACAGCCCCAGGAACTGGCTCACCACGGGCTCTCTCTCACACGTGTGGCAGCAAACAGCCTTCTGCAGGTGGCAGGACCCAGCATCACCAGCCCCTGCTCCAGTCTGAACCCACGGGTCACCACCTCACGCGTTGGCTTCAAGGGACTCACCTTCCCTGTCATTTTCTGGATCTCGTTCCTGTAGTAGATCAAGCTCCTCCTCATGAACTCATAGCTGTAAGAGAGGAACAGACCGTGCAGCAGGCTGAGCAGAGAGGGATGTGGAGAAGTTTCAGATGCTATTTAGAGCCAAGGGGAAGCTCGCTCGGGGGGGAGATGACCACTTCCCTCCCCGGCTTCACCACAACCCGATCCCAGAAGGCAAACAGCAGGGAGGGCACAGCACAGCCCCAGGGGGGGCACAGCCCCAGCCCCAGGGAGGGCACAGCCCCAGCCCTGGCAGCTCTGCCCACCTGGCTCGCTTCAGCGCGTCGACCCACTCCTTACACTGCTCCTCACTGTCACATTCAAAGCAGTATTTCCTCTCCGGATCCTCAACGAAACCTGCCAGGGACAGGAAAAAAAGAGATAGGGGTGGTGTTGGTGGAGCTGCCTGAGCTCTACTTTCTCCCTCCCGAGAAGAGCCAGGCCACAATTAGCATCTCTGATTAATCAAGATGATCTGTGACCAAGCTGGTAGCCCAGTCCTCTGTGCCCTCTCTCCCTTAGCCCGGGTGGCTCCTGGCTGGCCCGGAGCTGCTGCCCAGAGCTTCCAGCAGCCAGAGGCTTGGGAGAGGAGAGAGGGACTTCTCAAACTGAGAGCGACAGCTCGGAACTGAACCAGACAGACCAAGATGGCCAGATTTGGGACTGAAACGCCCCGAGCCTCCTTGCAAACAGTCACCGAGACATTTGGTAACCAGAGTGGAAAATGGCCCCGAGGAAGTGATTTTGCTCTACGCTGAGGGCAGCCATCCGAGGAGCTGAACTGCACTTGGAGAAGGCACTGACCTGTCTTTGCTTGAGGCTTTTGGGAATTTGGTACCATGCACAGTGGAAAACAAGTCCCCACGCACCTCCAGTTCTTTACCAAGACAGAATCAGGGCACCTAATTAATTTCATTGTCCCCAGAGCTCTGCTCTTTAGTGCACGGTCCACAGAGATCCAGGCTGCTGCTGAGAAGCAACTGGGTCAGGCTGCAGCAAACCCCCCAGGACACAACCTGACACCAACTCTTTTAACACTTTTCTCACAAATCCTCATTCCCCAGAGCTCTCAATGGTTCTAATCCCCCAGAAATTCAGAGCAGAATGCTTAGAGAGATGGGTACCTTCAGGCTGTTTGAGGGTCTGTTGGAGACAGCAAGAACCCCAACCTCTCCTGGCTAAAAGAGGAGAGGAGGCTCCGCACAGGAAAGCAGCTGTGCCCGACAACCAGGCCAAAAGATACGGCGATGGCCTTGGAGAAACATCCTGTTATTTTGGCCACATACCTCTCACACAATGATTAGTTGTTGGATGAAAGGCTGCTTACAAAGGACGACACACCACGAGCCAGCTGGAGCCAGGGCTATCAACACAAGGACACACAGCGTGGCGGGAGGACTGGTGCTAGATTAGCCTGACAGATGGTTTATCTGAGCCTCACTTTTTTTCTTTATTTTTTTTTTTTCCTGATAAAGTGCAATAGCACAGAAGCAGCAATCTGTCAATACCGAGCCCTCCCGGAGAGGGATTTCCATCAGCACTGAGCTGTGGTCTTGGTGTTACTGCTGCTCTCCTCACACACAGCTCTGCAAATCACAGCCTGTTTCAGCCAGAGATGAAACCCAGCTGAAATAGGAGGGACATGGAGCTGTTGGAGTTGGACCCTCTGCTGGGAGGGGGGGCTGAGAGAATTGGGGGGATCAGCCTGGAGAAGAGAAGGCTCCGGGGAGACCTTAGAGCCCCTTCCAGTCCCTAAAGAAGGGGGGCTCCAGGAAAGCTGGGGAGGGACTCTGGATGAGGGAGGGGAGCCCTAGGAGGAGGGGGAAGGGTTGGACCCTGCAAGAGGGGAGATGGAGCTGAGCTGTGGGGAAGAAGTTGTTTGGTGTGAGGGTGGTGAGAGCCTGGCCCAGGTTGGGCAGAGAAGCTGTGGCTGCCCCATCCCTGGAGGGGTTCAAGGGCAGGTTGGAGGGGGCTTGGAGCAACCTGGTGTGGTGGGAGGTGTCCCTGCCCAGGGCAGGGGGTGGCACTGGGGGGGCTTTGAGGTCCCTTCCCACCCAAACCAGTCTGTGACTCTGTGAAACACAGCTGTATGGAAAACAGCAATTAAATATGTCTGTCCTCAGGGTGGGGGACCCAACGCCAGAGCAAGAACCAGCAGCTGAGCAGGAGAAGGGCTGAGGAGCTCTGACCCCACTGTCACCAGAGAAACTAAGGAAAAAGCAGGAACTAACTACCTTCTAGGTAGCATTATTTGCTGTAAGGGGAATGCAGAGGGAATGCACACACACAACTCACTGATCGAGAAGACGTTCTCCTCCTCTTTGATGATCCTGCACTGCTCCAGCAGCAGAGCTCCGATGGGCTGGAAAAGACCCGGAGAGAGGGTTTAACCCGCGCCACCCACCAGTGAGACAGTGTTCTGAACCCACAGAGTTTTGCCTTTTAATGCCTTTTAAGCAAGTTTCATAACCTGGTGCTACTTTTAAAGCAACTCAATCTAATTGCATGGTCTTTTAATCACCCTTTTTGTGTCTGCTGACGTGCTTCATTGCGCTGGGCCCTTTGTGTTCACTAATCAGGTGTTAAACAATTCCCCTTGCTCACATTCAGTCTGGGCTTTAGCATTCCTTCCCGTGAGGCAAAGACAGGGAAGAAGTTTACCTTCCTTGCTGAGTAAATCCAACAAAGATGAAACATTTAACACACCTTGCAGGAGGTTAAGAACAGCCTCGATGAACTACAAGGGCTCAGGACAAACAGACAAATGACAGGAAATATTTGCCACCCGGCGCACACCCAGCAAGGGCAGGAGAAGGAAAGGGCAACACAAACCATAAACAAAAGCAACCCACAAGGAAATTCTTTTGTCCAAGCTAAACAAAATGCAGAGGGCAATTAAGGCAGCAGGAAGACACTGAAACCCCTGACTTCCAATGTGTTTCTGGCACAAGGGTTTGCATCAGCCTCCATCTACCTCCTGAGCTCTTTTTGATCCACTCAAGAGCTCCCCTCCCACACAGGAGGGTTTACAAACAACCAGGAGGAAAGAAGAGAGCAGAGCAGGAGGGAAGGAGACAGTGGAGGGGACGGGCAGTGCCCTCAGACATCAGGAGCCACTGCAGCGCCTCAGCCCCCGGAGAACTGCGGCTGAGTGAGGCAGAGACTAGAGACTGTGCTTCAGCAAAGGAGAAAAGGGATTTCTGAAAACAGGAGCTCAGCCTTTACCAGGGTAAAATATTTATGATGACGTCAGTCTAAAAGCCATGAAAAGCTTTCCAGTCCCTTTGTAGCACCAGCACGCACACAGCACCTCCCTTCACAAACGTTATTAAGACTGATTTGATATTCATTTTCCAACCAGAGAATCTTTAGCAACAGTTACCATGGGATTCATTAAAAAATCAACAGATCTCAGCTGTGGGAAAGCCAGAAACAGAACCCAAAGGTCCCATCCCTCACTTGTTTTTTCTAGAACCACAGAATCATAGAATGATGTGGGGTTGGAAGGGACCTCTGGAGATCATCTCCTCCAAGCCCCTGCCAGAGCAGGGTCACCCAGAGCAGGTCCCACAGGAACGTGTCCAGGTGGGTTTGAATGTCTCCAGAGAAGGAGACTCCACCACCTCCCTGGGCAGCCTCTGCCAGGGCTCTGCCACCCTCACAGGAAAGAAGTTCCTCCTCATGTTTAGATGGAACTTCCCATGTTCAAGTTTGTGCCCATTTCCTTGTCCTGTCCCTGGGCACCACTGAAAAAAGACCAGCCCCATCCTCCTGACACCCACCCTTGAAGTATTTATAGGTGTTGATCAGATCCCCCTCAGCCTTCTCTTCTCCAGACTAAAAAGACCCAAGTCCCTCAGCCTTTCCTCCTGAGAGAGATGCTCCAGGCCCCTCATCACCTTTGTAACCTCTGCTGTTCCCTCTCCAGCAGAGAGCTACAAAAATGATAGAGAATCATAGAATCCCAGGTTGGACGGGATCTCAGGGATCATCTGCTCCAACCTTTCTTGGTAGCAGCACAGTCTGGCCCAGCACCTTGTCCAGCTGAATCTTAACAGTGTCCAATGATGAGGGAAAACCCCAGCAGGGCTTCCACATGCCCAAAATAACAACACAGACAGGGTACGGCCAGAAAAGTTTCCCAGTAACAGTGAGCACTGTACACAAGTACAATTCCTGGCATAAAAAAGAAGAAACAATTCTATTTCTTTTCCTAGGAGGGCAAAACCATACGCTTCCCATCCCAGTTTGGCAGGATAAGGGCCAGTCCTACAAGCAGGCATGACAGACTCCACCTTCTGCAGTTTTGGGGGGCAATGTTTAAAGGATTCATTCCAAGCTCATGGGAGAAGCACCCAGGGGTGGGCAGAGAGAAATGCTGCTGCTTCTCACCCCTACGGGTTTTGGCCAAGGGGACGGGAGAGGAAATGTGGGTGCCCAGACCTGGCTCTTCCCCATCCCTGTCCCCTTTTCTGAAGCCCACGCGATGGATTGACAGAAACAGAAGAGAGAGGGAGGAAAACAAACAAAGAAACAAACAACAGCAGCAGCAGATGACACACCTCCGCTTCGTCTGTCCGGAAGTAGAAGAGAAAGTTGACGACGAGCTTCACGAGGCGTTTCTTTAACACTGCAAAGGAAAAGAGAGTTGAGGTGGGCAGAAGGGCCGAGCCGGCCCCCACCCTGGTGGGGGGGGCACAGAGGGAAGCCCCTTCCACCCCTCCCAGCGCCCGTTCAACAACCCACGGGGAGACAAGGTGACAAAGTCACTCTGCAGCTTCTCCAGTGGCTTCCTGGGCAGAGAGAACCCCGGGCACCACGTCACGGAGACGCCCGCGAGGCGGCCGACGGGAGCTCAGCCCCTCCCGGGGAACGCTCCGAACCCCGGGGGAGTCCCTGCCGGTGGCTGCCAGCTCCAGTGTCACCTCTGAGGGACAAAGTCCACTCAAACGCTGCAGCTCCTTGGGCGCAGGGAAGGCCCGGGACAAGGGAGGGAGTTTCTCTAACAGAGCTGGTTTGCAAGGAAATTTGCTGGGAGATTTTAGGAAAGAGCTTCCTCGGATCCCCCGGCCCCTCCTGGCCCTGACCCCACGCTGTCCCCAGCCTCACCCCCTCCCTCTGCTCCAGCCCCCCCTGAAACCTGCACCCCCTGGTCCCCGTGCTGCCACTTGCACTCCCCAGCCCTACACACCAGTCCTCCCAGTCTGTTCCCAGCCCTGCCTCCCAATACCCCCAGCCCTGCCC